ATATTCATTCTGCATTTTGTCTCTAAGTGTAAAGCCACTCATCCACCTAATCATTCTCATTTCGGCAACACTTAACTTATTATTATGCTTCTCTTTTAAAGGCCAACATTCAGCGCCATAGAGCATTGCAGGCCTCACCACGTCTTATAAAATTTTTGTTTCAGTCTTAGCGGTACTTTTCTATCACACAAAAGGCCCGAAGCATTCCTCCACTTCAACCAACCAACTTGAATTCTACTATTAACATCCCCATCTATATCACCATCGCTTTGGACAACGGACCCAAGATATCTAAATCGTTCACACCTTTTAATAATTTGATCACCCAAAGTCACACTTCTGTCACTAGAGCTATTACTACTAAAATTACATTCCATGTATTCAGTTTTAGTTCTACTTAAATGAAGGCCTTTAGACTCAAAGATTGAGGTGTTGTTGAATTTACTAAAAAAAGGAATGAAATATAAAATGAATATTGTATAATTGAGACGTTGTGTATTTAAAATACATTGAAGTTATTTTGGTTTGGTATAAAATAAATACATTAATTTATATATTTGTGTTTGGTTTGAAGAAAAATAAAATTAATATAAAATATGCTCGACAATATTGGCGGTGGTGGTGATCAGTTGCAACAACACCATGGCCTTGAGGCGACAGCTTGCGAATAACAATTGTGACGACAGGCGCTGACAACAAGCTGTTGGCGGTGGTGGCGACAACAGTAGGAACCTTATCGTAAGCTTTTTCTAAATCAATAAAAATTAAATGTAGATTCTCCTTATTATCTCTGAACTTCTTCATCAAACCTCTCAATAAATGTATCTCTTGGAACTTTATCAGGCATCTTTTTAGTTTTTAAAATAATATTAAAGAGTTTAGTAAGCCAAGAAACTCCCAAATCTCCCAAATATTTCCACACTTCAATTGGGATATCATCAGGTCCTACAGACTTTCCACCCTTGGTTTTCTTTAAAGCCTCCTCAACTTCTCTTTTGCTAATGCGACGGTAAAAAAAAATGTTTTATCTATTATTTACGATAATAAAATCACTAAGTTCGATCGTATTTTCAGAAACTTCATTAAAAAGTTTATCAAAGTAACTCACCCACCTATGTTGAATATCTTTTTCTAAGAAAAGTACTTTTTGATTTTCATCTTTAATACACTTTACTTGAGTTAAATCTTTACTTTTTTTTCTCTTTGTTTGGCTAGTTTATACATATATTTTTCACCCTCCTTAGTATTTAATCTATTATAAAGATCATTAAAAGCCAAATTTTTAGCGTCACAGATTGTTCTTTTAGACTCCCTGCGGGCCGTTTGATATTTTTCTCACTTCTCTAAGCTTTTACATTTAAACCAATTTTTATAACATAACTTCTTATATTTTATCTTTTCTTGCACATTATTATTCCACCACCAATTATTTTTATTTGTAAATAATTTTTCTTTTGATTCTCCAAGCACATCTTTTGCTACTTGTTTAATAGTGTTTGTTACTATATCTCACTTAACATTTGCTTCTTTATGAATATCCCAAATTTTGAAATCTTGAATTTTACTCATAAAAAATAATTTTATTTGTGTATTTTAAGTTTCTTTATCTAATTCTACGATGATTAGTCCTAGTATTTTTTTTTATTTTATAACTCTTAATCTTAAAATTTAAAACTAATAAATGATGTTAGGTACTTAAATTTTCACTTGGAATGACCTTACAATCTTTACAGTCGCGACGATCTTTTCTTCTCATAAGAAAATAATCAATTTGTGTTTTATCAGATTCACTCTTATAAGTAATAAGATGTTCATCTTTTTTCTTGAATAAAATATTAATAATAACAAAATCATACGCTAAAGCAAAATCTAAAATAGTTCAACCTTCTTCATTAGTTACTCCAAAGTCGTAGTTACCATGAATACTTCTGAAATCTTCAACCACTCTACCGACATGTCCACTTAAATCTCCTCCAAAAAAAAAATTTCTTCAAAAAGTATCATTTGTATTAAGTCTTCTAAGGCATTCCAAAATTTATTTTTAGACCCTGTATCTAAACCTACTTGAGGAGCATAAGCACTTATAATATTAAAAATCTTAATATCAATGATAATCTTAAGGGTTATAATTCTATCACCAACTCTATTAATTTTTACAACATTATCTTTCAAACTCCTATCTATAATAACACCTACACCATTTCTAGTGCGACTCTTACCAGAATACCAAAGTTTAAAACCTAAATTATCAATCACCTTATTCTTTTCTCAAACCCACTTAGTTTCTTGAATACATAAGATATTAATTTTCCTATGAATCATAATATCAACTAATTTTATTAATTTACCATTGAGAATACCTATATTCCAAGATCTTATCCTAATATTAGTTTCATTAGTTTCATGGACTAACTTCTTTACCCTTATTCGCCCGTAATGTGGGAACTCTTGCTTATTTAACACTACACCCTGGCGCCGATGTAGCGGCCCTTGCACACTTTTTACTGTATTCAGGCTAATACAGTGTGTCGCTTCCAGGGGACGCCCTAACACTTACACAATGATCAAAAGGATTCATGCATGATTTTTTTTCGACAAGTTTTACGTTAGCTGTCGACTACCTAACACAACCCTCCACTTTTCGCATCCGAGCTTGGGACCGGCAACGACAGTGTTAAGTGTGAGATGATGACACTTCAAAAATATATACTTAGAAAGTAAAAAATACAATGAAACATTGTCATATAATTAGATGATGACACTTTAAAAAATAAATAAATAAAAATATTTTTATGAGCAAACTTAAAGATTTTAAGATTTGAGATGTTTGCGAAGAAGCTAATTCTATGTGAGATGAAGTAATAAACACTTTTAAATAAGTGACAAAAATATATACTTAGAAAATCAAAAGAAAAAAAAATTATAAATAAAAATAGTTTGTGGTGGAATTATAATGTGCAAAAGAAGAGAAGATATAAAAAAACTTTGTTAAAAAATGATTTAAATGTAAAAATTTAAAGAACTGAAAAAATATAGGGTGGGTCATAGGGAGTATAAGAGAATTATTTTAGATGCCAAAAATTTTGTTTTTAGTGATCTTTATAATAAATTAGATACCAAAAATAGTATATATATAATTTAATCAAATAAAGAGAAATAAAAAGATTTAATTAAAGTAAAGTGTATTAAAAATAAAAATCGAAAAAGTATTTATCTTAAATGAAAATGTTCAACATAGGTGGGTAAAATATTTCGATAAACTTTTCAATGCAATTCTTGAAAAGTCGATCGACTTTAATGATCTTAATATCGTTAATAATAATAAAATTTTTTTGTTTTCATCTTCGAATTGGTAAAAAAAAGAGTTGATAAAACTTTAAAAAAATTAATGGTGAAAAATCTGTATGACCTAATAGTATCCCAATAGAAGTGTATAAATAATTAGGAGATTTGAAAATTTTTTGGCTTTCTAATTTTATTTTAAAAACTAAAAAGATGTCTAAGTGGAGGAATAATATTTTGGCCTAATTTCTACTAATAAAGAGGATGCACAAGAGTGGGCAAAATATTGAGGAATTAAGTTAATGCGACATAGATTAAAATTATGAGAGAGAGTAATTGAATATAGGTTAAGACATGATACAAAGATTTCTCATAATCAATTTTAATTTATATTAGACAAGTCTACTATGGAAGCTATATATTTATTGAGAGATTGGGTGGAGAAGTATAAAGAGAGTAAGGAGGATCTACATATGATTTTTATTGATTTAGAAAAAGCTTACGACAAAGTTCTAAGGGAAGTTCTATGAGAGTTCTAGAAAAGAAAGGTGTTGATATGACTTCCATTCAAGTCATTAAAGAGATGCATGCTGGAGTTGTTTCAGTTCGAATAGAAGGATTGACCAAGTATTTTGACATTTCAGTTGGATTACATCAAGGATCAGGTTTGAGCACAAATCCCTTTGCTTTAGTTATTGATGTTCTTACTAGATATTTACAGGAGGATGTACCTTGGTGAATGATTTTCATTAATGATACCCTTCTTATGGATAAGACTAAAGAAAGAATTAGAAAAAAACTTGAATTATGGAGGTCTACTTTATAGTCTAAAGGCCTTCGTTTGAGTAGATCTAAAACTGAATACATAAAATTTAATTTTAGTAGTAGTAGATCTAGTGACAAAGTTGTAACAATGAGTGATCAAATTATTAAAAGGAGTGAAAGTTTTAGATATCTCGAGATCTCGAGTCTATTGCTCGAGTCTATTGTTCAAAGTGATGATGATATATATGGGGATGTTATTAGTAGAATTCAAGTTGGATGGCTGAAATGGAGGAATGCATCGAGCCTATCGTGTGATAGAAAACTACCGCTTAGACTTCAAGGAAAATTTTATAAGATAGTGAGACCTGCACTGCTTTATGCCGCAGAATGTTGACCCATAAAAGAGAAGCACAAAACTAAGTTAAGTGTTGTTGAGATGAGAATGCTTAGGTGAATGAGTGCCTTTGCACCTAGAGAGAACATGTGAGATGAATATATCCGTGAAAGGGTTGATGTAGCTTCAGTAGCAGACAAGATTAAAAAGTCGTCTTAGATGGTTTGGTCACATTCAATGTTGAAAATATGATGATCAGGTTAGAAGGATAGATGTTTTAGATTCAACTTATGTTAAGAAAGGTAAAGATAGACCTAAAAAGACATGGACATATTGAATAAAAAATGATCTTGATTTATTAGAATTAAATGAAAATATAACACTGAATCGGACATGATGGAGAAAAAGGGTCCATGTAGCTGACCCCACTTTGTAGGATAAAAGTTTGTTGTGGTTGTTGTTATTAATGTTGAGAAATGTTTAATTTGTAACTATTAAAACTTGATAATTTATGTTCAGACTTTGAAAAGCTATTTTAGCATAGTTGGATCTCGAGCTCTATAAACTCAAATCACAAATCAATAATTAAAGCTTCATAATCACCCTAATTATTGGTGACTCTTTTAAAGTGAGTGAGTATTATTCATCCAAAACTCTTTAATACAACCTCAACTCCAGCTCCAAGGACTCTAAAGGCTTTACAAATAAAGAGAGTCCAAAGTAAATCTTCATTGGTTTTGGTCTTCTTCTCAACTATAGCCAGTGTGAAGTTGACCATAATGTCTGCCAATGTTGGCATCTTAATGACAATTTTGGCTAGAAGATTTGAAATTCATTAGAAAAGTTATTGTCAAAGTCTTGAGTTTGATCTCTGTGTCTTTTAGGGTTGGTAGCGGTCCTTCAATCCATCCATTTTCGCTGGTCACTCCTATGTAGTTACATATATAGCACCTAAACTTTATGTTTTACATTATACCACCCAAATCTTTCCTATCTCATCCAAAATACCACTATTTTAACTTTTAAAGAGTGAAACACACCCTTTCATGGTGTTATATATGAAATACATAAAAATTGAATGATATGCCCATACCTTCTTTATGAAGACTAATCGTTTTTCTGAATTGCAAATTGATCCATTTCACTGAGGATTTGAGAGGCTATCTTCCACTTCCCAGCCTTTCTAAATGCTTTCTCAAACGCATCTTTTACATAAATTGGCGGATAGAACCCTTTAGAAAGCATCCCCTTCAATTTTTCATAGGCAGCATCAACTCTCCCAGCCTTACAATCACCGTGCAGGAGCTGAATCTCCATATTCCTTTCCATCTTCAGAACCAAATCATTCCTCCCATTCTCTCTTAAAATGCCACCCAGCACCCTACATAAATCAAAATTAGGATTCCATCCCATATCCATCATTTCCATCACCATTTCATAAGCAGCCTCCCAACTCCGAACTTCACTGTACGCATTAATCAGCAAATAATATGTTGCATGATCTGGCTCACACCTCTTCTTCTTCATCAAATCAAAGTATTTCTTCGCTTCCTCCACATGCCTTAGGCTGCAAAACATTTGAATCAATGAATTGTAGCCTGCAACTTTTGGCTTAAAACCTACAGACAACATCTTCTCAAACAAACCAGAAGCTTCATCTGCTCTACAAATTTTGCACAATTCCTGTATAACTATCATATAGCTCTTATCACCACATCTCAGTTTCCTATCACCAACCATTTTCAGAATTTCAAATGCCTCCTCAAACTTCTGCAAATGAGATAATTCTGTAATTAGAGAATTAATCACATGTCCACTGGGCACCAAATTCAGCTCAAAAATCGCCCAAAACAACTCTACTGCTGACTCTATAGAACTCTCGGCTCTAACACAGGGAACCAATATTTCAAATGGATTACGAAAACTTGTAACTCTAACCTTCTCAACCAAATTCCTTTTCCCACCAGATTCACAAAATTGTTTAATAAGAATGTTGGCTGCAGTTCTAGTAGGAATCAGATGAGCTCTACTCATTTCATGGAAAATCTGAGTGGCAATCTCGAATCTACCAAACCTGGATAGGCCGATAAGGATGTTGCTGTATGAGAACTCATCAGGCTGACCCATTTGTCGAAAGATTAAGAGCGCGGCATCCATGGAGTCCTCATGTGGATCTTTTCTGCAGAGCACGTACAGAATGTTGTTGAATACGAGATTATCCGGTCTACAGAAGAACTCCAACTCCATCCCTTCAAACAAAGCCAGCGCCTCCATGATCCTCCCTTGCCTTCCGAGGAATCTTATACTAATGGCGACCGATCGTGTCGAGACGCCTCCTCTTCGCGATGCCGCCGTCTTCAGAAGCCACTTGAGGTCGTCGAAGAGTTTCCTCCGGCCGAGAAAGTCGGTCATGTACTCCACCACCGCATCATCGAAACGAAACTCAAGCTGAAACCCAGCCCATGAGAAAAACTCTAGGGTTCGGGATCTCCCCAATTGCTTGTAGTTTCTGAGAATTCGAAGCACAATGTCGGAGGTGAGCTTGTTCTTGAAGTTTTGGAGCTGGAAATCGAGGTCGAGAGGAATATCGGAGGGTTCCGAAAGAAGGGAGACAATAGAGGCAGCTGTGGAGTCGGACGGTGCAGACGGCGAAGGAATGGCTGATAGGATCGTCCGGCGATCACCGCCGGCCAGGGGATTGGTGTAGCTCGTGGATTTGGGGACTCTGTTGGGAAGAGTTGTTTGGGCTTTAGGGTTTGTCTTCGAACGAAAGGAGGCGCGCCGCAGAGAATTGAAGGAGAAGAAGAGAGCTGCAGAAAAATTACGGCTTTGTTTACAGATCATTTCAAACTGCAAGTGGCCTGAAGAACCAAAAAATATTAGCTGAGTACCTCTAAAGTAGAGCTAAGATTTGGAATATTCGGCTGTGTTACCAAAATATTTCATCTACATTATTTATAAAATTGTTGTGTTATTCAAGTATTATATAATGTTATTCGATTATTTTGCGGTGTTATTGAAATATTTCTCCGCGTTATTTGATTTGGGGTTATGTTATTCGACATATTTCCATGTTATTTCAATTTTCACTATGTTATTGGAATAACACAGCCCCAAATCAAGTAATGTGTGGGAATATTTCAATAACACTTCAACCTCAAATCAAGTAACACGATAAAATATTCCAATAACACCGTAAAATAATCGAATAACACCATATAATACTCGAATAACACATTATTTTTATAAATAACACAGATAGAATATTATCAATTCCTACGTATTTTCATATTTAATTTGTATATTCATATCACTCAAATTTTTTACATTATTAAAAATATTACCATTTTATCTTAAAAAATATATACATCTTTCGCAAGTATAACATATGTATAAAAATTGGCCATTAGATGTTAGATGTTTAATAATATAAATGCATAGGAATTGAGTGGTATGCATATATTTTTTTCATTTTATACATATATTGTAATATATTTTTGTATTAAAAAACATTTAAATATGTTTTCATAAGAAAATAAAAAAGGACAATATTTCCCAAATTACAATTATTATGATGCATATAAAGTCAAATTTACATACATACCACCCAACTATTATGTATTTACATATCTAACATCTAAGTTTTAGGTTTTACATTTTTAACACTACAATATTTAATATGACATAACTAGTATGATTATTTAACTTTTAACAAGTGAAATGTCCGCTCATGCATAAATAAGATGGCATTTATGTAAAAATTTTCAATTTAGGAGCTCAATATGTAAAAACTTAAGAATCATGTGGCATGGTAGATAAATCTTTCAGAGATATTTACATGTATAATTCCATATTGATATATTTTCATGAATTTATATGCCTAATATCTAAATTTTACTTTTTATATTTATATCATCAACATCTTTTATTTTTAATAAAAATTTCAACCATTCTAATGGGAAATATATTTTTGATGCATAAATAAGACGATAAATGATATGTACTTACAAACTAAGAAAAAAATATTATATCACTACCACACACGTTGAAATCACGCCACAACACACCACACAACATAAAAAAAAAAACGGTTTTGTCCGGTGTTATTCATGTGTTATTGTGTCATGAGAATATTCCTGGTGTTATAATAACATAATAACATATCAATAACACATGAATAACATGGGGGAATATTCTCCAGTGTTACTGTGTCGTTTTTTTTGTCGGGAATATTTTCTCGTGTTATTCTGGTGTTATTGTGTGTTATTCATGTGTAATGGTGTCCTGAGAATATTATTGGTGTTATAATAACATAATAACACATCGATAATACAAAATAACACATGAATAACACGGGGGGAATATTTCCCGTGTTACTACGTCATTTTCTTTTCTCTGTCGCGTGGGGTGTCGTGGCGTGATTTTATTAGCTACGCACGTGCATAATACTGATGTAATATTTTTCCACAAATTAAAGATTACGTGTATGATAAGGAAAGTAATGTTACGTTTGGAGTTCAGATTGCAATTTACTTATCCGGATAAACGTAACTCAAATTTTCAGATACTCTCTCTCTCTCTCTCGCTAGCAGGTTAGGGTTTCTTGATTGCTCTACTTCTGTTCCATACTAATCATTCATTACCCAACAAGCTGGGAAGACGAGGATGGGATCGCTGCGTACAGAGAGTTTCTCCTCCTTCGGCTCCGCTCCTACCCGAAACCATTGAGGAAGGTGAGCGATTTTCCTGTTCGCGCGTGCCTCTTCGCGAGTTCCAGGATTGCGGGCGAAATTTGGATTTAGTAAATCCGGGGATTTAAGTTGTCGAAAGTGACCTTCTGGCAGGGTTAAACTTAAATCCTGCTCTAAATCCTTTACCAGACAGCTCATTGTTACCCGACGGCTCTTAGTTGTCTCAAAATTGGGTGTTCTCTCCTGTGATTTTCTGTGCAGGTGGATGACTTGCCGACCGCTTGACATGACAAGGATGACATGAACTTTATTAATTCTCCCACCTGCTTGGAGAATTGCATGCTGGCATCTTCTTCTGTTTATAGAAGGCAGCTTTTTCTGATAAGATCTTTGGGCGGTTACTGCTGTAGAGTTCATATGGAAGGAGGAGGACGAGCAGTGGGCTCAAGCATTTCTGTTGCAGAGGCTGATGCTGAGAGCGTGATGAGAAAAATTACACCAAAATTGGATCCTATTCTCTATAAAGGCCAAGCGGGTAAATGCTTTGTTTGCCAAGGAAGAAGTAATGCCTGATAATGATTTGATTTCCAAGTTTTTCATTATCTGGAAGTGGTTTGTTGTATGTTCAGCCAGGTGTTGTCTTTTATCAGTTTTGGATAAATTTGCAGTTTTGTTCATTTAGGAACGAATTTCATCTCTTTCTGATGCTACATCAATGAAATGGCAGTCGGTAGTTGTTACATTTCTCTGGGTTGTGTTTGAATTATTTGTGTGGTGTTATCGATTACCAAGAAATTGATGAATTATTTGACCTCTGACCAGATTTTTCTCTGTTTTTATGATTGAATGATTAACGTTAATGCCCTAAACATTTATATTCAAATTGTTTTTTCTATGTCCATGTATTTGTTCATATCTAACTGTTGTTTTTATTTAGTCCTTTCCATTCATTCCAAGCCATCTTTTGTGAAATGGTCAGCATAGCTTTTTTTGTGGTTCAGGAAAGGTTGCAGTGATTGGTGGCTGTCGTGAATATACGGGAGCTCCTTATTTTGCTGCCATATCAGCCCTCAAAATTGTTAGTTTTTTTTTTTTCTCTTGCATTAGTTTTCAATTAAACCTGCTGCAAATTTTAAAATGATTGTGTCGTGCAGGGTGCAGATTTGTCACATATTTTCTGTACTAAAGATGCTGCAGCGGTTATAAAATGTTATAGCCCCGAGTTGATTGTTCATCCTGTTCTTGAAGAATCATACAGTGTGAGGTACCTTTTTGCTTCATTTGTTGAGCTTTAGCCATTCTTCTTCGTTCTAATGATGCCAATACTTTTAGAGATGAGGAGAAAGCAATTGTTTCTGCAAAGGTGATTGGTGAAGTTAAGAAGTGGATGGAAAGGTTTGATTGCATCGTTGTTGGTCCTGGTCTTGGACGGGATCCATTTCTCCTGGTGTGTTCATTTGTTTCAAATTTTCCTCTAGAAGATATATCAACTGTTTAATTTTTGGGGCATTTACATGCATAGCATACGATTCTTATGTATTTACATATCTCGCACCTATACTTTCATATTTAGTACTCAAATATTTATTAATCTCCCTCCTTTTATTATTGGGTAATTGTGTAGCTCCTCTAGTTTAGATGTTCATCTTACGGCTCGTTCTCGTTTCTGCTTCTACTTGGAAGTCTATGGAATTTTGGATTGCTTGCTTCTTACAACCTTGTAGCTAAGCTGTAATTTAGTTCGTGACATGTTCTAAACAATATCATCTCATTCAATGCTAACAAGCTATCTAAGTCTTTATCAAGTCAAAATGCGAGTAAGAGGTGGTGGTAATTATATTATGGAAGATTTGCATACATAGCACTCGATTCCTGTGTATTTACATGTCTAACACCTATACTTCAATTACATACAAACCACCTTACCTATGCATGAAAAGGTTTATTTCACTTCATAAAATTTAAAGTGGTCGTGTTTTCTATGTGATATTAAAGATTTGGGTGTCATAGTAGTAAAAAAGCAAAGTTTTTGGTGATATATATATAAGAATTGGGTGGTATGTATGTAAATGTCCCTCATATTATTAATATTTATAAGCTAATGATTAATTTTTCCTGGTTTACCCTTGCATGCCTTTGACTATGCAATTGATATTAAAATTAGTTTCACATGTTTCTTTTTGTTTAGTTTTGCTTTTATGCGTGCAGATAAGCATGAAATAAACTATAATATTGTATAAGCTAGAGGTAATTTTTTTCTTTTATGAATTTAAATAGGAGGGGATGGTATCAAGTCAAGTTAATGTGAGCTAACGTTCGATTCCAAGTCAATTTTAGAGTTATTTCTTGCCGTCCTTTAATTTTATTAATATTCTCTAAATTTCTAAATAGGATCAGATGCACACACAGGAGAGAGTCATGTTCGAAGCAAAGCAAATATATTTTGACTCCGTTAAAATTCGAGTGATCATAGATCAAGTTTCGACGTTTGAACAAAATTGACAAGCTAGGTGAATTCCTAACTTTACAAGGAGAAATGCTCTTCTACCTCCCACAACTACATTGGAAGATGACTTTATCATCCCATGTCATTAAGTTTACTTGTTGAAGGAGTTCCATACATATCCCTATAAAAAAAACCTTCAGATTGCTTGCTCTACCAGAGCACTAGGTAGATTGATTAAATTGATCTCAAGTTGAACTAGTTATAGGTTGGATTGATCAATCTTGATCAAAGCCAAATGTTGCTTTCTAACTTGATCCAAGTTCAATTCGAGCCAAACATAGCCAACATACATGTATAACCTTCCCCACATTACTTTTTGATTCTATCTCGAGATATCTCGATCCAGTTCAGGATTTGCTCAAGCAAGCTAATTTTTTAGGGATTTTTAAAGCAAATTCACGTTTCCATGAGGTTGTTATCTGTGTCCTTCACTTGACCGAGCGTCATCCCACAATAAGAACTCTAGGAAAACATAAATATTAGTATTTTTCAAGTTAGCTTACAAACCTCAACAAGAACCCTTAGAATTTTCTTGAATCTCATTATTGCTTTGTCTCCTCAGAATTGTGTTAGCGATATCATGAGGCATGCACGTGATGCCGAAATTCCCACTGTTATTGATGGGGTATGTCTGCAATTACTGATTTAACATTCTCAACCATTTGTTGCCCACAATTCTTAGTAGTCATAGTTTCATATACTTTCATGTTTCACAGGATGGTCTTTTTTTAGTCACAAACAACATGGATCTAATTAAGGGGAATTCTTTGGCTGTTTTAACACCAAATGTCAACGAGTACAAACGCCTGGTTGAAAAAGTCCTACAATGCGAAGTAAATGATAAAGATTCTAGCAAAGAGTTGGCATCTCTTGCCAGAAGGTGATCATTTTTTTTTTTGCATTTTCTATTATTTTTTCACTAAATTAGAAAATTAATCTTACATTGATTTTCTGTATTGTCAGCATTGGTGGAGTAACTATCTTAAGAAAAGGAAAAGCAGATCTTATTAGTGATGGTGTAACTGGTAAATATGCTGTTCTGAATTGATCTTTCAATGTGAATGCACTTATATATCTCTTCATGGGTTAACTATTGTGAAAGGAAGATTTACATACATACCACTGTATATAACCTACTATTGAAAGACTTTGGTCATCTCTCTATCGGAAAATCCCTCAGCTTCTTCTAACTCCTTTTTCAAGATCCTCCCGAGTTGTATGAGTTAACAAATCATATGGGATTTCAGGTCTCAAAAGAATTGAACACACTCACTACTTTTGTATTTATATATTTAACACCTAACTTCTATTTTTACATATATGCCACCTTATTTGTGCATGAAAAAGGTGTATTTCACTTTCTAAAAGTTAAAATAATGGTATTCTTGATGTGATATGAAAATTTGGGTGGTAGAAATGTAAAAAATGCAAAATTTAGGTGTTATATATGTAAATACATGAGAATTGGTTAGTATGTATGTAAATGCCACATTTTTAAATATAGTACTTATCTATGCTGCTTATTTGGCCAACTCATTGTACCTATTTATTGAGGTTAGCTTTTTGTGGATGTTTTCTATGATAAAAGTTAATCAGGTGAGCATTTTTGGATCCCCTAGACGTTGTGGCGGTCAAGGCGATATACTCTCTGGGAGGTAGGTTATTTCAAAGGGAGATTTACATACATAACACTCCATTCCTATGTTGTTTACATGTCTATCACCTAAACATCAATTTGTACATATATGCCAACTTACCTATGCATGAAAAGGTATGCAAGCCACCTTGTTATGGTGGTTGAGAGTTTTGTCTATCAATCAGGATGTCTTGGGTTCTAGGCTTTCCACCTGCAGTGTGCATGCGTTTGGTGTGTGTGTGTATAAAAAAATTTAAATAATAAAAATAAAAATAAAAAACTTATGCATTAAAAGGTGTTTTTCCCTTTTTAAAAGTTGAAATAAATAGTGTTATTTTTATGTGATGTGAAAGATTTATCTGGTTTAAATGTAAAAGGTAAACTTTAGGTGTTTAGATATGTAAATACATAAGAATTAGTTGGTATGCATGCAAATGCCCCTATTTCTGACATTCAATTATTTGGTTCATCTGCCTGCTCTATGATAATATCTGCCTCCATGTTGATTTATTTGGATGTTAAGTGCTACTTTTCTTTCATTAAAGCATTATATCATCCTGTCCTCTTTTTATTTCCATACCCTTCATTTTTTTCTAATCATAATATTCAATTTGCAAGAAGATAAAATATCAAATGTCTCTATGTTCTTAGGGATAATTTATCATATTTTGAGCAGTTGTGATTGAATTTATCAAGATTGAAATGATTTTGAAAAAAATGAGTGGATCTTAATCCCAACAACCAAAAGTAGGTGGATGATTGAGATTTGTTACTCTATGCTTTAATTGTGCTTTAAGTGTCACACCCCGGGTCTCAAAGACGGTATACCCCAACAACACAGAGCATGATGAAAAGAATTGAATATGTTTTGTATTCTTAAAAGGAAAAAAATATATGTAAGTAATGATAAAAATAAATAAGAAAAATTCAAAATTTTATTCCATAAATAATAGTACAACCAATACAACTGGAATAAACTAAAATGAAATTACAAAAACAACTGCCCAAACCCAAAAAGAAAATATAATAACTCGTACGAAACTGGAAAAATACTAATAGAAAATCTAAATCTGGAAAGTCTGCTTCGGTGGAGATGATTCGATAAGTGGTGGAGTGAAACCTGTCATATAAAAATATCAATGGGTGAATTTGAAAACCAAATTCAGTAAATAACTATTATATATTAAAACATAAATGGTAAAGAAAATAAGGCTTGCAATACGACGTTAAATATGAACAATTTATTATGTGTATAAAAGAATTTGTAAGGACTATCAAATGTTCATAATCATGAATAAAAATTATTTGAACACATGCACATTTTTAAAAAAAGTTATATTTTACAATATCAAGTAATACGGTACATATATGAATAATCAATCATTTCACACTACCTCATAATATACAAATATTTATGTATGTATGTTATAGTCGGTTTACTACGATAAAATTCATTGATTTCTCTGAAGGATCCGTCGACCCGGCTAGTTATAACAAAAGATTTTAATACCGACATAATACTGTTATAATATTGGTTATATTTCATGCATCACAATCAATATGATAATATAACTACAAAATGTCCACTAATATTTATAACAATTATGAAACTGAATTAATGAGATTTGCCACATCAAATATAAGAAATAATTAGTCAATATTAAAATAATGAAGGGTGAACAATAAAAATGAGGCCGAGCAGGAATAAAACAAGCCTAATTACCCATTAAGGTCATTTTGAGGAAAAATAGAAACTATTGCAATTATGTGAATAAGATTTGAAAGGTTCTAATTCACAACCCTAAAATTAGCTAGAAATATAATACAATTAGCAATGTCAACACCCATAATTAGAAAGGATACCCATAATAAAGAAAAATTACTTACCTCGAGGCGACAAACATGATACTTCTATGAATTTGACCGTTCGACTATCAATCTTACATCAATTAGAAAGTAAGATTAATCATGCATTTATTACTTAGGTATAATCTAAGCGACGTTCATTATTATGATTATTATTACTATCATTATTGCTCTTACTTTATTATTATTATTAAAAGTAAGAACTTATGAACCAAAGTAAACTTTCACTAACAATTAAAACAATAATTTAGTTTTGTTATATTTTGATAAAAGGAAAAATAGATTTTTGAATAAATTTTATTAAGGAAACATAATAGCCAATAAAAATATCTTTTAATTATTCATTTCTTAAATCTCGTTCCTCCTTTGTCATGAATCTCGTTTTAGATAAGCTGAAGTGCGCGAGAGGGAAGAAAGCAAGGATTACCTTTCTCAATGGTTTCAGGTAGGAGGGAGTTTCGGCAGATTCTGTAAGTTGTGATCCCGTAGTTTCCTTCTCTGTTAACTCTAAACGCGGCACTATTGCGCGTGGTTCGGTCATGAAGGCGATGATTTTGAGCAAAATCAGGAGAGAGGCAGAGAGAAGGGAGATCAAAGGGCTTCGATAGAGGGCAGTAAGAGGAGTTGAGGAGTTGTTCATGCCCTAACCCAAGCTTGACTTTTGTAGCACAGAGAGGCGATTCGATCGAGCAAATTAGGAAGGCGGCAGATGAGCGGGGGAGGAAGAAAAAGGAATAATCACATTTTGGGAAGTCGGTGAGGCTATGAGCAAGTTAGGAAAGTTATCAATGGTGCAATAACAGGGGAAATAGCGAGAAGTAGAAGGTACATTTCGGTTCTTACATTAATTGTATCACTAGGAATAATTTAGAATAATCTTGCCACGTGTTGCTAGTGATGCTCCGGTATTTTGTAATTACACTTTTATTGCACTTTCAACATTTTGTAAACTTAAATTTCCTGAAGTTGTTAGTTTTTTTATGTTTTATTAGATGAACTTCATAGTTTCTTTAATGCATAGGCCCAAGTTTTCTTACTTTGATTGTGATATTAAGCTTTTTTATTGTACATGACATCAATTTTTCTTTGATTATTCAATATTGATATTGCTAAAGTTTTTTCCTTGCTCTCATACATGGTGGCAGTGTTGCAGTATTCTCGTCTTGGGCGCGCCATCATCTTTCCACGCAAAAAAATGAAAGTAGCTTGCAAAGGTGTACATAAATTTTCTGCTATATATTTGTGCATTTAATTTACAATATTTGTGTATAATGAAGAGTAGAAAATACAGGCATTAAACAGGTAGATCTGATGTTATATAGATTGTAGTTGTTCAAAAATAAATTATTAAAAATAGATTTAACCACTCAGACAACACTCAATAGTATATAAAAATTCTCTTTTCATATTAATGGTTTTTTATTTACATTATTATAAGGAATAGAAACTGTGTTTATTAGAAGAAGCATGAGTAGATTTAAGGTTATATGGATAACAGTTCTTCAAAATGATTTGCTAAGAATAGATTTAACTCCTCTAACTCACTCATTAAAGTGACACATAAAGGTCTGGCATAATTTTTCTACCTTCATATCTATGACTTTTGGTTTACAATATTTATTTACAACAAAGATTAAGAAAATACATTAGATGGGTAGATCTAAGGTTGAAACAGATTCAACTCCTCAAACATCACGCAATAAAGTGGCATACAAAGATGTGTAGGAGCTTTCTCCTATCATATCACTGAATTGTCTTGGTAGATGAGTGGTGAGTGGATATGTGTTTATATTGTGGGTAGTTATCCAAAATGATTCATTAAGTCATTTTACAAAATTCAGTTGAAGAGGTATGCAAAGTTATGCACATAAAATTTTTCCTATTATATTTTTGGCTATCACATTAAACGTCGACCATCTAATGATTAGATTAGGAGAGTAGATGTTTTAGTTTCGACTTATGTTAAGAAAGGCAGAGGTAGACCTAGCTAGACTTGGCCTTATTGTATAAAAAATGATCTTAATTTATTAGAACTAAATGAAAATATGACACTAAATAGGACGCAATGGAGAAAAAGGATTCATGTAGCCGACCCCACGTAGTGGGATTAAGGCTTTGTTGTTGTTGTTGTTGTTGTTGTTGTATTCGTGGCTATCACGATGGCTTTTAATTGACAATATTTATGTACAATGAAGGTTGATTTACAGCATTTTATGGTATTGAGCTAATATTAAAGATAGTTGATTTACAACATTTTACGAATAAATTTCTGGCAAACTCTTTTATGTTGCAGTTCATTGAATCCAATGGTTCTTGGCAGCATATCAGGCTCTGCGCTGCTTAGAAAAGCAGCTTCTCTTGCTTTTGAAAACAAGAAGAGATCAACCCTTACTACTGATATCATTGAATGTCTGGGAAAAAGGTATTTATCCCATTTTTTTTAATATGGGCTGAAATTGTCCTACTGAGAATTATTTTAGCCTAAGTTTGAAGAGTGGGGATTAATTTGGCATTTTTATAGATTTTAAGACTAAAATAATCCCATGCAAACAGATTTGGTACTATTTTGGTACTTGTTTATTTTTACTTTTTTCATTGGCTTCTCTCCTATGCATTGTAATTACTTTCCTTACTTTTTCTTATTACAGTTTGGAAGATATAGTCCCTGCATATTGATACAGTTATAGCATGTCAAAAGCCATAGAGATTGGAGACTTGAGCCTCTGCTGGTTTTGCATCAATTCTTTGGTAATACCGTTATATGATCTGTTTTGGTTAAAATGTTGAGAATAATGGCATATGGTATCTTGGATTGAACAAACGATGAAGATTTATGTAATGATGATTCTCTCATGGGCTCGATTTGAATCATTAACATCTCTATCTCATCGGTTGCAAGCTGGTACTCCCTTTTTGATAGGGGTGCGCATTATTTGGCTAAAATCGAAAAATTGAACCGAACTGATTAAGTTTGGTTGATTTGTTTTAATTTCAAAAATGAATTTTGGTTCTTGATTTTTAAAACTTTAGTACTCGATTTTCAGTTTGGTTTTAATTTTCATTCAATCGAACAAACAGAAAGATTGACATTTCATTATTTTTTATTATATTTTAAATTCATGTCCAATAAACTAAAAAAAAGATAATTTTTTTATTATATGCAATATTTAATTGAAATAAATAGAGGATTCATGAAATTAAATCAATATTATGTAAATAAGATAATGTAAATTGTAATGTTCGTTCTTAGCCAAACTTCAATAAACAATTAAACTTTAATTAAACTTCAATTCGATCAATTTGATTATATCAAAATTTAGGATGATTCAGTTTTTGGATTCTGGATTTTGGTTGCAATTGATTTGACCAATTTTAAAACTAATCCATCCAAACTGATTGTATTGCTCATCCTTACTTTTTGAAGTCCTCATCTTCTTCCTACTCAATGAAGGATATCATGGTTCTGTTTAGGCAATTTGATACAATGTGCCCAAAATTGTGATACTTGAAGCACTTTTTATGTTGGGATGAATTTAGGAGTAGTTGTGGTCTCCACATTTTCTCCACTTTATATGTTTTTTTTTTTTTTTTCGGCAGGATTAGCTTAGGTGATCATTGGGTGTAATTTTGTTCTCAGTTCCTCTGGTTGAACTTTGTTTGGATGTTGGTGAGGACTTAATACTGCTTTGTTATCCCTCCACATTTAGGGCTAGAGCCGGGACATCCTGTCATGTTCAAAAAAACTGTGACTATATCACTTTACCAATGGACAAACTCAATCTCTTCAAATATTGAGCTACTATGTTCTCCTCCAGCTAAGCTCATACTTTAACATAAGCAGCTCTAACTTAGATGTATACCCCTCTACTGCAAGCCCCCACTGATGTAAATGGTGAAGCCTAAAAAACATATTTTGTCTGTAAAGGAAGGTCAATATTTGTGTTGCATCTTTTTCATCGTAGACTAGGTTGTTATTTTAGCCAACCAGCCTAATTTTATCTCTATGTTTTTTAAGGCTGCAACTTGATGTTGTAGTTGGTTTCTCATTTACAACACCAAGTCTTCCAAACTTCTTCAAGTTGAGGATTAGATATAAATCCAAAAGGATAATTAGGTCTAAAGTTGGAGAAACCGCCATCTTGATTGTTCCAGTTTCCTAGGGTATTTTATTTGTTATTAACTCAAGAATTATTTTCTACGTTTTGGTTGTTATTCCAACTAAAATTAAGATGATTTTTCTAACTAACATTGTATTTGTTTTAATAAGTATTATTGGGTGTGTTATTGATTACATTTTAGGACTCCACAGGCACAACACTTGAATCACCAAACTGTCCATGAGAATTTTCAGCATTCATTAGTGATCCTGGTGTTGAATTCAAACCTAAATTATCTATCTTCTTAGATACAACAACTACATATGTAGTTAAGATTGACAACATATGTGATTTGGAATCTCTCCGAATATCTTTGTAAGTTTTGTGAATTTTCTAATAATATTTAATGATTTTTTTCAATTTTAGGGTCAAATATTTCTAGTTCAACAGAGAAAGCCCTATGCATACGCTAGTAAACCGTAAACTAATAGATAAATGATCATAGTTTACTGAAAATACAATAATGCAAGAACATGTGTAGATAGTAGAGACAAGAAATCACAAAGCATTTTTTTTTTTTTTTGGATTTTTTAACACCTTAAATAGCAATAAAATGTGTCACAACAAGTTTTAAGTCTAAACTCTAGGTGTTCAACTAAAATCATCCTATAATAAAAATTAAAGTTGTTCACCGGCAACAACACAAATAACTTGATGCCCTAAATATTGTGAAACACCAACAATCATACAAGTATAGATGTCAATCACATGGTATGTGAATTTTAGTCAATGAATCAATCCCATAATGACCAAGTTAACTCTCCAAAATACAAAGAAGTTCTAGTCTATTTGTTTTAATTCTAGCTTGAAGAATTAAAAGCTGGTGGGTTTTTGAGAGTGAGTAAAACTAATGTTTGCAAAAGATTGAAACCTACTAATTAAGTTTTAAGGTTTTAATCAAGTAAAGAAACCTCCCTTGAATTTGACTTAGTAATCTAGCCCTACCAAGAGACTCCAATGTTATTGGCAACCATGAACAACCATATTCTTTAGCCCCTTTAAGTGATATTAAGAAATATTTGTATTTCATATTACAAATATTTCTCTAAATATGCAAAAACTCCTATACTTTCATGTTTCCCTATGTGATTGCACTACTCTAATAGCAGTATTTTTGTTCTCCTAAAATAATATATGTTAATCTAATAGTTTCACTAGTCTACTCCGTAGTACTATACCACAATTCATTTTAACAATCTAAATAGTTAAATCTGACGTAAATTACGTGCAAAAGGTTAAAACATCAACGTGCTACTATGGAATGTTCACTCACAATTCAAGGATAAGACTAAATTGCATTGATTACAAATTCAAGTGAGTGAAATATTTAGTTCCTACTCATTTTAAGAAAACAAAGAAAAATTTATTAAAATCCAGAGAAAAAGTTTACATAATGAAAAACAATCATACCCAAAATTATTCTTCTTTTGCTCCACTTTGAATCTTCTTCATACAATAAAGCTTCAATTTGTTTTGCTTCCACACATACAAGAAAGTAAACATTCTTACTAAACACTAAAATATTCACACACCCTCACTTAAGTCTCTACTACATCTCTTCTTCAAGTGTCGAAAGTCTCCAAGAGATCTCCAAGTCTAAAACTGTGGAAGAAGTTTGAATGCAGTAGCCCCGATCTAAAAAATTTTCCCCAAACCTTCTGCTTCCGCCAACCTAAGCCCTTGCTAGCAAAATAATGTGAATTGAGACATCTGAACCGTGATCTCGCATTTACGAGCGCCTAGATGCCCATAACTAGCTCGCTAGCGCCTATTGCTCTATTTCTGAGCTCTTGGGCGCCCGCTTGGGTCTATGGATCCGGGCTCCCAGGCTCCCAAGTCTGGCGCATGGGCCCATGTTCAGCTTAATTCAACCAGTTTTTTTAGTCATTTTCATCTTCTTCGCTCCCTGAGTTGCCTAGTCACATGTACACTATATATACAACTACAAATATCATATAAAAGAATAAAAATGACATAAATAATATAAAAATACCAAAAAAAATTTATGCACATTTGACACACATCAGCAAGGATGATAAAATTTTAAAAATCTAGGGCTTGTCGGGCTGTGATTCCAGATGATACCATTCTAGGGCTTCAAAAGCTATTAAGAAAATGGGTTTTGCTGGAATGACAAGGGAATGATAATATGTGAGTTTAACGGAGTTCACACAGGATCAACATCTGTCAACCGCTATCCAGGCTAAAAGCAACAAAAAAAGCTCCAAATAAGCGACGCCTGGGTGGCGTCGAGGTTCCACCACCGATTTCTGAACAAGCTACAAATACGTCACTTCCAAAAAGAAAATGATACAATATTCCAAAGAGCACAAAACATAGAAAAATCTCTCATTTTCAAAAAAAACATCAAAACTAAAAAAAGCCAAAGCATAACATTTATAAAACTCTCCTAATAAAAAATAATCTAATTAGAAAATACAAAATCATAAAAATAAATACTAGAATTGATTCTGGATTGCATCCTGTGCAGAAGGTCTCCCCTGATTGCAGACAACTCCGCGATTCCACGGGTAAACACCCGATCCGATCAAGCTTTATAATTCATCATGTTCATTGTTTTTTTTATTATGAGCCGTCAGCCACCCTGATGTGCCTAACCACTCGATCCTGCGCTACAAGAGTGATCTACTGAGGCGGGCTCGAATCCGTGACCTGAGGGGACTTAAAACTCACCAATATCTCTCAATATGAATGTTTACGTGCCAAACATATAAATACAAAAGAATTGTGTGGTGTGTATGTAAATGCTCCCCAGTAATAGCTTGTCCATGTTCAGGCCACACCAAGAAGCAGAGGCTGCTGGCTGCTACCTCCACCATCACCCCATCCCTTCTCCTTCCACAACCTCTCCACCTCCTCAAATGTCAAACCTTTCGTCTCCGGTACAACCTCGTACACAAACACAAATGCCATCACTGCAATCCCAGCAATAATCAGGAAAGTCCCGCCTGTTCCCACGAGCGACACCACCGACAGGAAGAACTGCGCGACGATCAGATTCGATATCCAGTTCACAGTTGCCGACATTCCTCCGCAAACTCCCCGATACGCCTCCGGGTAGATCTCCGAGTTCACCGCCCATGGAACCGGACCCATGCCGGGCGCGAAGAAGACGATGTACAGAGCCAGACCGAGCACCGCAAGCCATCCCTGACTCGCTCCACAGCAACCATGGAGCGAGCTTCTCACGCCGGATGACTGGAGAAAGAACGCTCCTGCGATCATGAGAAGGGAGATGAAGACGCCCACGAGGCTGGTCAGAGCTAACCGGCGTCGGCCGCAGCGATCGATCAGGTGGATTCCGATGATGGTGCCGGCGGCATTCATGGCCGCAATGATGAGGGAGAGCAGTAGGGCGAGCTGGTTGGAGGAGAAGCCTGCCATTTGTACGATGGTGGGACTGTAGTACATTACTGTGTTGATTCCTGTGAATTGCTGAAATGCCTGCGTACAAGTTTGGAAATTGTCAAAACTATCCCGGACTCTTTTGAAAGTGAAAAATATCACATGGGAAGAATTCTAATAAATTGCAAGACGAGTTCGGAGGAGGTAGATCATACATTAAAGTACATAATTTTTTTTATTTAATGGGTCTGTCGTGTGACGTGACGCAATTTCATTGGAGTCCTGATACATTTCTGTATGAGAACAACATATGTAATATTTTTTTCCTTTGAAAGCGTCTAATGCATTTCTATATCAAGACTCATGATGTAATATTTTGTTCCTTTGAAAGCGTCTAATTTTTAGGAAATGTGGATAGGACAAGTTAGGTGCGGATTTAATGGTATTATGATGATATTATAGTGATTATTCACCTCAATACTATCTAATAACATCAATCCGCACACGCAGACACCACGTAATACTTACTCCTATTTTAGTCCCAAAGTTTCTAGAAGTGACAATTTAATATCCAGCTCAGTCCCCAAGGAAGATTGTTTTAGCTCACATAGCCACATTAAAATAATCCAAGGGTAAAGTTTGTATTTTTATAAACTTTGAGATTAAAATGATCAAATGTAAATAGTTGGGGGATTATTTTAGCACTTTACTCTTTTAATATTGTAGGATGCAGATAAAGAACATTAGCATGTTAAACGAACAATTTGAGTGAAATTTAAAGTGACTCGTATGAAGATCGAGATCAATTTCCCTTAAGATACACTCACAATAAAATAAGAGAAAAGAAATTTACATACCTACCACTCAATTCTATGTATTTATATATCTAACACTTAAACTTCAATTTTTTATATATATATATATATATATATATATACACCATCTTATCTATGCACGAAAAGGTGTATTTCACTTTATGAAAGTGAAAATGATGATATTTTTTATTTGAAATCAAAGATTTTAGTGGTATAAAAAAAATTTAAGTTTAGGTGTTAGATATGTAAATTCTTTGGAATTGAGAAGAAAAAAAGTTAGAAAGTTAAGGGGCCATTTACATACATACCACCCAATTCATATGTATTTACATATCAAACACTTAAACTACACACCACTCGAATCTTTCACATCACATCAAAAACACCATCATTCGCCTTTTAAAAAGAGAAATACACATTTTCATGCATATATAGGTGCTAGCTATGTATGTAAAGTTGAAGTTTAGGTGTTAGATATGTAAATACATAGGAATTGAGTGGCATGTATGTAAATCATTCTCACTTTTTACTCAAATTCTGAAATCCGAATAACCAAAAGAAATTGGAAGAGACTCATAAGCAATCATCATTTACCTGAAGACCAGCTCCTGCCAAAAATGCATGCCTCATTTCCTTGGATCTAAAAACATCGAAGTAGCTAACAGTCTGATTGGAGCACAGATCTTCAGTCGAAGCACTGGCAAGCAAATCTATCTCCTCCTCCAAACGATCAGAATCATAGATTTTCGAAAGCACAGAAATAGCCTGAACCTTCTCCTTCTGCAAATGGGCTAAAATGGAGAGTTTAAGCACTCATTCATATAAAGCAGAAGGGAAATTTACAAACATACCAAAGCATTCTTGCGTATCTACATTTCTAAAACCCAAAATTTGATATTTACAATTCTAACATCTTGATGTCGTAAACTTTTGCATCAAAAGGTTTAATTCACTTTTAAAAAGATGGTGATGGCGGTGTTTTTGATGTGATGTTAAAGATTTGAGTGGCACGCATGTAATTATGAATATATATAAGAATTATGTGGTATGTATGTAAATGCTCCAAAGAAGGAAACAACGAAGCTCTTCTTCGAGAGTGAAATACCTTCGAGTAAAGCCACCGAGGCGACTCGGGCAAACAAAGCATCAAACAGAACTGGAGAATAGCAGGCACGGCAGCAACACCAAGCATCCAACGCCACGTACCATCAACCTGTTAACACACATAAATTGAAGCAGAAATTTACACACACACAAGTCTTACATACTTACATATCTCACACCTAAACTGTCATATTTACGCACATAACACTTTGATGCTTTAAATCTATGCATGAAATGTGTATTACACTTTTAAACAGTGGTAAGGGTGCTGTGTGTGTAAATATGAAAGTTTTGGTGTTAGATATGTAAATACATAAGAATTATGTGCCATGTATGTAAATGCACCACAAGTTGCAGCCTTTGAAAAGTGGTGTATTCACACTGTAGATTTATTGAAGAATGTAAGGGAGAAAAAAATCAGTCTACTAAACAGTATTGACAGATTATTATAGATGCCAAAACATGCTGACATAATGAATTTCTTCATCTTTCATTTCTTGTAATTACAAAAGTTGCAGCCTTTGAAAAGTCGAGCAATCACACACATCAAAAACATAAATTTTGCGACTTTAAATGAACAAATCAGAAAATTGATTGCTGTTTTTTAGTTGTTTTACAGCTTCATAATCTTTAGTTCTGAATTCTGTTATTAAAATGTCATTAAAATCATCTATAAGTTTGATGCTAAAATATGGCAGCAAACTAAACATCTAAAATGACTTAGAAACATGATGTAAAATTGAGATGTTAGTGAACCAAATAGCCTCTAAATCAAAACTTCCGGCATTCAGAATCACCTTTGCACTCTTTCAAGTATAGGCTAAGAATCAAAATGTATAACTCCTTAAAGAGATCCTCTTTAGTCAACACATTAAACCACTTTCAGCTCACAAAGTTAAATTAAGCAACAACGTCTTTTTCAAACGATAAAACACTTTGGGTGATAGATGTAAGGAAGATTTACATATATACCACTCAATTCTTATGTATTTACTAACATCCAAATTTCATTTTTTACATATATGTCACCTTACTCACGCATAAAAAGTTGTATTACCTCAGAAAAAAAAGTTGGAAATTTTACATATGTGTCACACAATTCTTATATATTTACATATCTCACACATATACTTTCATATTTACATATTTAGTGCATTAATGCTTTAAACTTATTCATGAAAAGGTGTATTTGACTTTTAATAAGTGATAACAGTGCTATTTTTAATGTGATATCAAAGATTCAAGTGCTATGTTTGCAAATATAAAAATTTAGGCGCGGCATATGTACATACATAAGAATTGTGTGCAACATGTGAAATCAGATCAAAGAATGCAAGATGAATCTTACCTCAGTGAAAGCAAGGTTTACAACATATGATAGAAATTGCCCGCCGGTAATCATAAGTACATTTGTGCTCACTAATCCTCCTCTAATTTCCGAAGGAGATGCTTCCGCAATATAAAGCGGCGAAGTTACGGAAGCAACTCCAACACCAAGGCCAACAAGAAGCCTCCCAACTATGAGGATAGAAGGAAACGGGGCAAGACACATAACCAGAGAACCAATTATAAACATGACATCCGCAAGAAGGGTGGCTCTCTTTCTCCCATAAACATCATTGATCCACCCACCAGCTGCAGAACCAATCATCGCTCCAAACAATGCCACACTTACAATTGTTTCCTATAAATCACACAATCATCGAATAATTCAATTCGAATATTGCACTTGGAAATCATGGAATGTTTGAGATAGAATTCAATTTACACCTGTAAGAAACTGCTGTCATTAACCTCCTTAAATTCGTCCTTGATATAGAGGAGAGCCCCAGATATAACTCCTGATTATCAAAAACAATAAAGAAGACTTACATACATGCCATTCAGCTCCTATGTATTTACATACATAACATCTAAAGTTCAATTTTTACATGTATGCTACTTGTGTATTAAAGGTATATTTCACTTTTTAAAAAGTTAAAATAGTGGTATTTTGGATGCTATATATGTGAATACACAGGAATCCAGCGTTATGCAAGTAAATGTCCCAAACAACAAACATAACTGTCAGATTATACAATTATAAAACACCAGATTCTGATACCTTTGGTATTGGGATGTGGCTAAGTTTATGCCATATGCTCATGATTTTAAGTGTTGTAAGCTTTTAAGCAGTGCAGCGAAATTTACTAGATAAATAGAACTTACTCATTAGATATTTAATGATTTAGTTAAATTGCCTAATGGTTTAGTCATATAGAAGGTAATTGATGATTGTAAGGGCGTGCATTATGTGGTCTAAACTGAAAAACTAAACCGAGCAAATTTGGTTAGTTCTGTTTGGTTTCAAAAAACGCATTTTGGATTTTGATTTTTGAAACTTCAATATTCGGTTTTCGGTTATTGGTTAGCTTTTAATTTTAATTTAAACTGAACATACCGAAAAACCAAAAATTCAATATTAAATGGAAGATTAACGAAATAAAATCAATATTATACATGTAAGATGTCGAAGCCACGATGCTTGTTCATAACCGAACTCCAACTGACAATTAAAATTTGGTTTGTTCATGAGCGAACCTTTTAAACTCAATTAAATTTCGGTACGGTCGGTTTGTTTTTATCAAAATGTTGAATGGCTCGGTTTTTCGGATATCCGATTTTGGTTTCAATCGGATTGACCAATTTGAAAACTGATCCATTAAAACGACAGAATGCTCACCCTTTGATGAGACATGAAATTAAGCACATAAGTGATAAAATTAGCCCCATCCTGACACAATTTATCAAGATATACTAAAAAGTTTTTTTTTAACAAAATTAAGTAGGATAAAGAAAGCATCACTGAGTCAAATGGCTTTAAAATTAGAAACCTATTTAAATCATTTCACCACCCAAAATCTGTTTGGTAGGCTACTTTTAATAGGATTTACGTGATTGTTTAACATAAATCCAACCAAATGCCATTTCTCACTCAGATAAATCTGAAGCTATGTTACATTCAATTTTTTCCGTATTTATTAAATTCAATTATTACTTGAATTTAACGGATTTAGCTTAAGAAGAAAATACTTCAAAGAGATTTATGACGAACACATCAAATGAATTTAACTAGATTTAATCTTAATTGAACCAAACAACATTTCAGATTTAACAATAATTAGATTTAATAAATCTGGATTCACTAAATCCTATTTAACTTAAATCATACTTGCAGCCTTAAAAGGCTCAGAAAAAAACATCAACATGTAATCTTTAACAAACCCCAAGAACAGCCGATGCAGCCCCATCAACAAATCTTCCAATTTTCAATGTTTCCATCACAGCAACAGCAACTATAATCAATCATTACTAAAGATCTTAAACGAGAAAGACAGCAAAAACTGCTTCATGGAATAGAATCGAATCAAACAAGTAAGAATCCATACCAGTATCATAGCCGAAGAGAAGGCCGCCGATGCCGGAAGTAGCTGCCAGGCTGAGCACATAACGATTGCCGAAGTAGCTAATATTCCTCTTCGTTGGCGGACTAAACATGACGGAACACCCCGACATCGATTCAATCGTCATCTCCTAACCCTACTACAAAATCTCCTCATTAAACAAGATACTATAATTTCTTACCGAAATGAGCAAGAGATCGAGAACCCCCGCAACCCAAATCGGCCGGCGAGCTCGGGGATGAAGAAGAGGAGACGTGAGAAGCCAGAACAGGTAAGAAGGAATTTTTGGCTCGTACAACTTTTTCGACCACGACAAGCATTTTGTTTAAAAATAACTTAAATTTCATGTGGATGAAGTGAGTAAGTCCAATTTATTTTTGACCTTTCAAATCTAACTCATCCAATTAAAAATTTCTTATTGCACATATTAAAGATGTCAAAAATCATCCTAACCTGATTTAACCGTCCACAAGAGAAGAATACGACGTATGCTGACCCATACTAGACGATTGTGAGACTCACTTGATTGAACGAACAAAGTCATATGATCTAAGCCAACTAGGCCAAAATCGACCGAGCTATGAGACAAACAAAAAGATAACCGAATGATCCATGCACATGCCATCAGATTGAACACAAGACGAAAGAGTTTCCTGAGCCAAACACTACAGGAAAGCTGATTATATGTGATAGCTTAACTTATAGTAAAGTCGATCCAAAGAATGATTTAGTTTCGCAAATGACCTCTAACCATCTCATGGAGACTCCAAAAACTCCTCACCAGGGAACGAAGATAGTCAACCAGACAGGATCAATCGACCAAACACTACCGACCAAGTTGCCCTGTCGACCCGAAGCCAACTAAGTTTAGCAAGTCGAGCCAGAAAACAATTGAATCATAAGTGCATACATATAAAATATTAGAAAAACCTCAATACGAACCTCATCTAAATGGGGACAAAAATGTAATGTCACCATTGTGCTATGTCCTCTATAAATAGAGAAAATATTTTTTGAAGAGAACACTTTTCCTCACTGTTCATTACTTTCTCTTTCTCTCACTCCTTATTTTCTCTCTATTCCTTGGGTATGATTCACAGACAATTTTGTATTTAACATCTTGAAAGGTGCAATGAATGTGAATCGTGTCACCAATAAGAAGAGGAACCATGCAAAGAGAAGGACCTCACAATAGGAAGACTAATGACAATGTGGAGTGCACCCTAAGAAGATGTGATCCAGTAGATCCAATATATGAAGGATCATATGCTAGAAAAGATTAGACATGCTAAATAAGGAGCATGAACATAAACACGGATAAGATGTTCTGACACCTAACGACATAAGTGTCCCTTTGACCTTAGAAAAGGAGGACGAAACCATTAGCTTGATAGTTTTAGTTCAACATCAATCGACAAGAATCGGATTGAGTGCACTAATGCACCGCGATAGCCAGAGAATGCATTCTCTTATTAGATATTTGATGTCAAGCCACCATATATTCTGACGCTTTAATGTTATAAGGGAAGAATGGACCCAACTAATCAAATCACTTCCTTTGAGTCGACTGTATGTCTACTCAAGATTAATGACGCATTGAAATATCGACTTTTCTTTACCACGTCGAGGGATTCGACTCTCAATTGATTCAACAAACTATCAACAAGAATGATCATATCGTCATTCAAAGATTTCAAATGAATGTTCTTTGTGCAGTCCACTAATGCACAAAAAGTCCAGAAGAGCTTGCATGCTCTCCTACATTTTCACGAAGGACAAGTGAGACCCAAAGCACATTTTTCACTCTTTTTCAAAAGGAAATGTTAGATATTCTACACTTAGACCCAATGGTACAAATGTGTCCCTCACTCAAGGATTGAAAGAAAGATTTTTAGGTATGCACTGAGATTATAAAGACCGAAGATACTAGCCGAGTTGTCGAAACTAGCTAACAACCACATCTCTGTAGAAGCACAACTCCCACCGCTTCATTCAGAAATGAGTAAAGCAATTATCACCCAACGAAGAGAGCCACCCATGGAGAAGGATGAAAACTTAGGTACAACCCTCACCCTCTTACTCAAGCAAGTTTTGAGGCTTCACAGAGACACTCAGATTACTAGGCAACCAACATGGCTCATTATTCGGAGAACAAGTATGATACACCAAGTGGCGATCAATTTGATACGAGAAGCGATCTCCACCTACTCACGAGATCCCTAGTGACACTCTGCTAAGAGTCTCGATGGCTAAGATAATGGAGTCATTCAAAATCAAGATAATTTCAAGAAGGTGACCCCGATGAAAGCTAGGCGTATCTCTGGGAGCCGAAGAAGTATTAATCATAGCATCGAAACCTATTATGTCACTTAGGAGTTTCAACACCTCTGAAGCTTAATCGAGGATCTGGTCAAAGCCGATAAGGTGAAGGAGTTTGTTGTGCACAGAGAAACTACCTAATGACAGTGAAAGACTCCTATTGAAGAAGTCATAAACGAACCGGTCTGAGCCCACAAGATACATATAGTTGACATAATTCCTACCATCATTGCAGGGGATGGAGGAGAGTCGTCCCACTGAGCCAGGTTGAAGAGGCACGAGATGGGTGAATTATGTGCAACTGCCCTGGTGTTGCGACACAACTCACATCCTCCAATCTCTTTTACTAACACTGACCTACCACCAAAGGGAAATCCTTACAATGACATTATCTTCATCTAATTACCAAATTGGAAGCACACAAGTTGACACTGGGTGCTCGGTGAATATTATCTTTAACTTGGTTTTTAATAATATGGGTTTGAGCACCTCCTTTATTTTGACCACACCTAGGCCACTCTATGGGTTCTCTAAAGAGAGGAAAGAAGCTCTAAGAACCCTCGCCATGCCAGTCATCCATGGAGAAGGTGAGAAGCAATTCACAAATGTGGTAGATTTTTTCATTGTTAATTCTCCATGTACCTACAACCTCATCTTCGGTTGCTCATTGCTCGACTTCTTCTGAGCCATCACCTCCACATACCATGTATCTATGAAGTTTCCGAGCGATGGGGAGGTGATCATTGTCTGAGGCGACTTGGAGTAGTCCCTCACTTACTATTTCAGTGTCATCTAAAGCATTCACCAACAACCTCTTGACCTTAATCCAACGAGGGGAAGGTTTCAAGATCAGTGAGACCACCTAGAATTTTGCATGCTTTTCATAAAAATTATTTAAGGTAATTCGTGACTACTTGATCAACATATAGCTTATTAATATGAGCACTATTATAATTTATGATATAACATGAAACATGTCATGTTTAGAAAACAACTTACCTCTATATAAGTAAAAATCATATTTTCCTAGTATTCATGATTGCCTAAGACAGTCTATCATGTTGTTATAAGGAAAAACAAGTCATCTCTATATAAGTAAAAATCATATTTTCTTAGCATTTGCTAGGAGCCACTTGACCTTGACATCCAACGAGGGGAAGGTCTCGAGACTAGTGAGGCCACCTAGAACTTTACATGTTGTTCATAAATAATTATTTAAGGTAATTCGTGACTATATTATCAACATATAATTTATTAATATGAGCTCTATTAATAATTTATGATAAGATATGAAACATGTCATATTTAAAAAACAAGCTAACTCTTATAAGCAATAATCATATTTTCCTAGCATTCATGATAGCCTAAGACACTTTTATTTTGTTATAAGGATTCATATGAAATTTGTAAAGGCGTCTATAATCTTTTATTTTATTTTCTTTTTTTAGTAGCCTGACAAGTCCTACATTGTGAAATAATATATCTTACATACATTTTCATTCCCGACAAAAAGTAAATATTATTAATCATTGCAATAGTCTTATCTCTATCAAAATATCCAACAAGACGCCCAACATGTAATTTTATAATGAAAAAAACTTCTAAATGATGAATTATGGACACAAAGATGAATTTACTTGAATAAATAATCACCCTTAAACATTTAGGCACTGTTCATTATTAGATAAACCTTCATGTTTTGTAAATGCTTTATGGGACATTCTTTGTTTTTCATGACTATGGGATTCTCTTCAAGTGGGCTGGATTGGAGGTTACAAGCGAATTTGATTTGAAAAGAAAAATGATCATGTATATGAAGTTATATTAGAGAAGTAAAATGAGATGAAGTTTTAGGGTTTAGGGTTTCGATACAAAATTACATCATTATTTGTTCTCAATATTTTATTATTTGTTCTCAAAAATACAAAATTACATCATTTCAATGCTTGTCATGTTGACCACTTATTTATGGGTGACGATCAAAATTGATGATGTAGAATGGGCTACCTAATAAATTTATAAGAGAGGTATATAAAATTGACTTAGTGTAGCTACATGCAAGTGTGTTTGGCAATTTGTCATCTACTATAAGAGAATTTTAGATGAGTGCTAAACAAAAGACATACCTTGGTGAGTTCTATTGGTAAGAACCTCTAGTTCGTTGACAAATATCCTAATAGCTCGAGTTATATAGGCAAATGATTTGATCTTGTGAAGTTCTAAGCTAAAGTCAACTTAAGCCAATTCACCATTAGTGATTTGTTGAGCCCTATCCAAACTCTCTTAATAACTCGATTGATCAACCCTAAACTAAACAAATATGGGCGTACTGATTATATAATTTTGGCCGGTATTTTAGGCAACAATTACACACCACCTCATTTTAAATTCCTCTAAAAAGGTTTTAGTCTCATGGTCCTCACTTCTGTCAAGGCTTCTAACCACAGCTTCCCTTCAGAAAAACAAAACCAAAGTTCTAAAAAGACATCAATTATACCTTGCAAGTGCATCTGAAAAATTCAGTACATAACAATTTGTTATTTCTCTGAAGTTACAGACAAATTTATCAGATATCCAATACCACAAAACAATCAAAATAATATCACCAAGAAGAAGCCAAGTCATAGTTACACGAGAAAATATTACGTGCAGTGCAGATTGACGATATTATGATAGTATTGTGATGATATTATGATGAATATCACAACAATGTCACCGAATCCACACATATCAGCGCCTACCTGTCCATAAGTAACTTTTCTTCTACCACTTTTGGATATTTTGAAGGCAAAACTGATACAAAAAGTAAACAAACCTGTAGTTTTTCCTTATTATATACAGCATAAAACAACCCCACCTCATCACATCCTCAGCAGTTTGTATGTTTTTTCTACAATGTTAACAGTAAAAAATAAAAAAAAAATTTACAGCATCCATTCATCATAAACCATTAAAAATTGCATCTTTGTGCCATCCAAATCAGAACCAGTTGCAGAACCTGTCAATCTTCCTCCGCAGTGAAATCAGGCTCCGATGGTTTCTGCAAAGCCATTAATGGAACTCTTCTTCCCCGTATTCGAGCCTTCCCCGCCCCACTCTGCCGCAAGTTTCGCAGAGCATTCGCAGCAAACCTGGAGGCATAAATTGCCGCGCCGAGGCTCAGCGAGTTCGTGCCTCCTTTCGCCAACGCAGCCTGCAACCTGTTCTCTTTCTCGATTAGGGTTTTCTCGAACTTCTTTCTCGAATGGCGACGCCAAGCTGCCTGTATGAAACAAGCAGCCCATGTTCTCCACTGTTGCGAATAAAACCTGAAGGCGTGGCGGAGCTGCTTGCTGTGGAGTCTTCGGAATTGGGTCGCAACAAATTTCAGATCTTCGGCTTTTAGGGCAAAACCTTCGACCTCAGACAATGCCTTCACTGTTCTGGTAGAGATTGGGAGGCTGGAAGAGGAATGGGGATCAAGAGCCCAGGTGAGCAGCTCTTCCCCACAGAAGTCGCCGCCTTTGAGGTAATCTGAGTTGAAGAAACCAGTCCTTCCGCCATTGGTTGTCACGCTCAATAACTTACCACCCATAATGAAGATCATCTCTTCTACAGGGTCCCCTTCTCGAACAATGATGCTCTCTTCGGTGTATAAAGCAGGCTTCAGGCAATCACACATGGCATCCATGAGCTGATCATCCATCTTCTCAAAAATTGGAACCTATAAAGAAGGCACATTGAATGGATACATGCTTTGCTCATCAGTAATGAAGGAAGCCTTTTATGTTCCCCAACTAAATGGTAGTATCAATGCAGGGCTTTTACACACCATCCACACCATCCAAAAGTGTAAATGTAACATTTTGATCACCTAAACTTAAAATTTATATTTCGACCATCTAAAACTCTATTTCCTTTTGAAACAGGAGTGGTTAATCCGTTATGTTTAAAGTTTTAGGTGGTTGAAATGTAAAATTTGAAGTTTGGGAGGTCAGTCGGTTATATTTAAAATTTTGAATGATTGATATCTAAAAATCTAGTTTTATAAGGAAATCAAGAAAGGGCTTTTAAACAACAACCATCCAAACCTTTAAAATAAATGTTTTGATCACCAAACTTAAAATTTACATTTCAGTCATCCAAAACTTTATTTCTTTTTGAAATTATAGTGGTCAATCTGTTATATTTAACGTTTTGGGTTGCTTTTTGGTGGTTGAAATGTAAAATTTGAAGTTTACCAAGATAGGGAACAGAAACTTACCCAACATTTGCAATAATGCACTTAGCATAAAATAGAGAAAAGATGTGTTGTTAAATTGAAATACAGACTAATAGAAAAAAGTATACCCTCTTGAGCAGAGCCAAACAAAGGTGTCGCTTAACATCTCTTCTAAGGTCTTTAGGAAGGTTTTCTAGGAGGCTCTCTTCATCAACCCCTCTTGTCTCTTGCCATCTGTACTGCTCATGACGACGTATTCTATCCCTCAAGCTCTCAGGAAGTAGGCGGTGCATCATCCATTGCTCCGAATCTCGTCTTTTCACCCTCATTTCTTCTACTCTTACAGTGGTGGATTGAAGGTAAGTCTGCAACATTGAAAATGAGTTACAAATGATATAGATTTGAAGTGATAATTCAGAGTTAACAGAATGCTATTAGTTACCTGCATATTGCCAATGAGAAGCGCGAACAAGACCAAACCCGCAATACAGACAAAAATAGTATAGAGAACCTCCCATTCGTAACTACTTGTTACCAGGTTTTGTGCAAGAGAACTGTAACCAGAAAGTAAGGCCCATCATTATCACACAAGACATCTGTTAATACTAGACATCAGTGCAGCTGACTACAATGAAGAGATGAGTCAGTATGAGTAATGAAACCCAATGTGAGTGTAGTAAGGTAGGTATTCTTCCAAACTTGACACAATTTTTTACATATTCTTGATGGATATGGATGTGGATAGGCTATGAGTTTATCAAAACGTATAATAGGACAAGCCAGCAGGATAAGTTCATACATTTAATCATGATTAAAACAGATTTACCTTGAGTTTACGGTATTTTAATTATGCATCACCTCAGTATGATGCTCCTTCTCATGCATGCTAGAGATAGTATACATTTTTCAATCCATCTTATCTCGCATAACCAAGTCATGACAGTCGGATTTTAGTTTTTGTATAATGCATGAATTATGGATAATATATTAGAAAGCGTGTCCCATTTATTTTCCTATAAAGTCAATTTATGATGTTTAATAGCCATTGAAAGTCTGCCCATTAGTATCAGTTAGAAAGCCATATATTTTTGGCTTTTTATTATACTTTGCTGCACCTAACATAAATCATCAAATTTCTTAACTCTGAACCAGTATTGGCAGTAAACATCATACAATGCACAATAATATGAAAAGACATTAGGAACATTCCAATTAAGCAAACCTCAGATTCTGCAGCCCCCACCAAAAGCAGTAAAAGAACTTCTCTGGAAAATCTCTGGACTGAACTATGTTCTGAAGAGCTGGAATGTAGATTCCAAAGTTAAAGACTGAATTATTCGTATTTTGTATGGGGCATGCATCAACTAAAAAGCTATTATTTTGGCCTTGCTCTTTCCCACAGTACCAAGTGGCAGTGCTGCAATTAATCATGGAACAAGCTTGGTCCCAGCATGCATTCTGCCTCTGTATGGAAAGGAGGTACCAAGATGCTCCAACCACCTGATAACAAGTGTGAATCTCCATTAGGACAAAACAAGATTCTTCGTTTCAAAAGTTCTTTCAGAATTAGTATGAAGAGAACAGAAACATGAATAATGAACTTACATGACTTGCAAGCATGTAAAGTAAGAGGTTGAATGCGGCCCCAGCCCAAGCTGTTTCAGTAATAATACCAGCAGATCTGGTTACTTCCGTATACAAGGGAATGATCCTGATAAGCCTAGGCACATATTGGAATAAGACTACAAACATCAATAGGTTTTTTGCATCAAACGGAGATGATTCTTTCAATCTCGGTTGTATGATCAGTGCAACAATCTGAGAATTAAAAACACAGGCGCAACATTATCCGACAGCTTCCAAGGAATGATGGGATGAACCTTTTGATAAAATTTGTGAAATAAATGATAAGAAATAAACTTCAAACAGAACTGCAATTCATGTTTGGATTAACAAAAAGAATGAAGCCAGCTTAGTGCAAGAAGACAATTGTAGCAATATTGAAATAGAGAAAAGTAGGATCCAAAACTGTTCGCAAGTTAACCGCTGAATAGCCCTTGAGCCAATTATCTTTCTTAGTTTCTCATATATTTAGGTTTAGGCAGAAAATTGTGAGTGAATGTTACATTTAGCACTTTTACTTTATTTTTAAAGGATTTGGAAATTGATTAGATTTGTATGGCCAATTATTCTTGTAGTTGCAGTTGAACCTAAACTTTCTTCATTGATTATACCGAGCATATAGCCCTGAAGATAAAGTCCAGTAGACCTGCCTTATGGGAAACCATCTGCTAGCACAAAACCAGTCATTTGCATGGCTTATTTGTTCTTATCAGCGTCCTTGTTCTTTTGGTTTATTGAAACAGAGTTTAAGAGAAGTACTAGTTGCATTTTAGAAAGCAAGCTGTTTCCTTTTTTTTTTTTTGGGAATTTTACACACACCACAAAATTATATAGTTATATATCTGATACCTAAAGTTTGATATTTACATTTATAACAACCTCGTTTTGTAAACCCTTGCATGAAAAGGTGTGTTTCACTTCTAAATAGTTAGGAATAGTGGTACTTTAGATGAGAAGTTAAAGGTTTTGGTGCATGTAAATATGAAAGTTTAGGTGTTAGATCTGTGAATATACAAGAATTGTGTGGTCTGTATGTAAATGCCCTCCCCCTTTTTTCATCAAAAATCAACAATGTCTATTATAGCAACAATGTAAGGTGGAAACTGTTGCTAACTCTCCTCCAAAGATCTTGGTTATAAAATCCCCAAATTTAAATTGCAATTATAATTCATCATAATATCTTTGAAATGAAATATATTAAGTCCATGGAAAGAGTATGATACCTGCGGAAGGGGAAGAACTGCGAGGATATCAATGAGGAAGTTCGATGACAAATACCGCCAAGCTATAGCTGATAAATCTTCAACCAAAACACCCCTCCCAAATCCCCGAGACGAAGGAGCAATGAATCCAGTTCTAAATTGGAAAATTATATGAAGCACATAGAACATATCTGTGAAACAGCGCAAAATACTTGCTGTCTTTTCTAATTTCTCATCAAGCTCGAAGCAATTATCGTCATCATTGACAATTGGGACATAAAAGAATAGGGGATCCACAGATACTGCAATTATGCAGGTAAAAACAAATATTTTGTTCCACCTTTGCAGAAATTTACCTTGCGGATCAAGTACCTTTTTCCTGTTTTGCGGCTCGTTTAGAGCTGAATCTTTCATAGATGTGTGGTAAAAAGCACTTCTAAATGCTTTATGTATGGACTCAAATAAACTCTGGATGGCCTTTACTGCCCAACTAAATCGTTTCTGTTTTCCTCCTGAAATTATAATCTTTGTGCTCATTGTTCTCTCAGAGTTCCAGCTCTAAAACCTGTAGATATTGAAGTCAATTTAAAGACATGGATAAACATTCTTTTTAAAGAAATCATATTAGCATCCAAAAACATTGATTAGTGAGGAAAGCAAAACAAGAAATTTCCACTGCAGCAGTGTTAGCAGGAGAAAAGAGGGAGCAGAAGCAAATGATATAAAAACCTGTTCTGCATGAAGGGTGACAAATTGGATAGATTTTTTTCATTAAACTTGAATCAAGTTTATTCCTGTATAAATACATTTCATGCATTTATTGAAGATCAGAAATTATGTTTTCATCATGAATGTTGGAACCATATCAGGTTTAAAGGATTGCAGACGCTTAGATCAAAATTAAGACCAACAAAGGTGTGGAGAAAGTTCTATTAGCTTCCAAACCGAAGCACAAAAAGAGATGAGGGAGGGCGGCGGTGTTGGTGGGAGAGCAAAGGTCATATTACACTTGTTCGTCAGGCAAACCATTGTCATTAAATTTATGCAGTTTTTAAACATGCTTTAATTATGTTTCATATTTTAAAAATAGAATAAGGTCATATTACACCTGCTTGATTATTATTAAGCATTTTTAGTATGTATTGGAGGCCTCTTTATCAGAATCGTTCCAATTCGTATTCTCTGTATCATGTGGTATAAAAGCAAAGATCCATCGAAGGTTATAAAAGTTATTTCGAAAAAAGTTAATATGAAGGTATGCCCCCTCTTATCTCCACTTCATCTTCTCACACTCTCCCTTGCCAAAACCATGTCCTCCCATGACAAACCGCCCTCTAAATTGTTGTCCTATTCTCACGTACAAATTATGAAAGCTAAAATTGTGAACAAATTTTAATGGCTTTCACATGAAATTTATTATTTTGATCATTTATTCAATAAAATTAACTTATATTAATAAAACTTGGATGAGAGCTTCTTAAAAACAAGATCGACTGCCCTTCTAAATTTGAATGCATTTTGCAGTCATTTAGTTCCTGGGTTGAATTCTACTCTGCCTCTAACCACCTTACCTCTTCCACCAGTAGCAAACCATGTAGCCCATTTTCCAAAACCCCAAATGTCCATTTGCAACCCCAATGCCATCATAACTCCTCAACCAAGCCTTTGTTAAATTTGGAAAATTTTGATATGTTGTTTTTCGATAAAACATAGCTTGACAATTTCATTCTTAATTTATTCAATAAATGATAGCACCTAATATCCTTCTATAATCCGCCAACAATCAAATCCACCAAAATCCCTCCACATTCCCTCAATTATAAAACAAAGCTGTCCTTGAGTATTGAAATGTTATGAATCACACAACAAGCTATTGACGTAAATCATCAAAGAAGGCCATGGTGCCAAAAGGCAACTGAATGAACTAATATATTGACTTTCTTTAGGCTATCAAAATTACATTACAAAGAATCATGATGTCTTGTAAGGTCAAGTTAGTCTTAAGCCTAACAACTTGATTGGTAGAGTTAGTATTACTTATAACTCTTCAATTTATACTTTTTAAATTTGGTGGGTAGCTCTTCCTTCATAATATATAGAGTTCACATAACCCCTACTCATAGTATTATCCCTTGGGTGGAATAAACAATCACTCGAGTCTCTTCAGGGCCAAAGAGGAGTGCAGACTTCATAATGATGGGCAAACTTTTGGCCTTGGGATCTAGATAGATATGGAATGAGTAGGCCTATGCTAGAAACCTAGTTGATCTCCAATAATAGGGGAAGATATAACAACACAACCAACATAGTTTCCAATATCATTCAGACATGTTCTTCCATATTCTTCTAAATAAGAGAACAAATATACTTCAGCATATTACACTTAATTATCATTTAATTTTCCATTAATAATGGTTGATAATCATTAATATCAAACTTATTAAAATTGCATATATCAAATAATCAATCTAGACTCTACTAATTACTATAAGATATGATTGAGATCTCTTAATTATTTCAATAGTGAATTGAATAGCACTAATTTCCATTAGAAAACTATAGAATTCAGACATCAGAAACTAACAAAACAGCATCTATCAAGCCCTTCTTCCCCAAATCGAACTCGAAGAGCAAAAATACAAACAACAAAAATGAAATCCGATGAGATTAGCTCATCATAGGCAAAGCTGACCTAACCTTCCTTCACAAACTAAAAGACTGCGAGAGCGATCGATCGAGGGAAACTCAGCTGATCAGCTTCTTGACCCTTTCCCTTATAGATCGTCGATGGAGTCGAGCGGCCCGGCGAACGCGGCTCAAGGATTCGACGCCGGTGAGGAACTCCCTCCCCTTGCTCCACCTCTCTTTCTCTCTATTCGGACTTCACCCATCCATGGCTTCCCGCAACTCTGCAACTTGTCAGCCGCAGAACAGTTGCCGTTCTTGTTGTACTTCGCATCATCGATGATTTCGTCCTGGTCGGAAGATCCGCCGGCCGGCTCGAAAGCCCGCCAGATCATTTCAGAACAGAGCGAGCTCGGACAAAAATCTGACCTGCACAAAATCCAAAAGAGAACTTTTTTATTTGTCGAGAATGTGCTGACCGATCTTCAATCATGCCGCCATTAGTTGGAAGCTTAGGCATTCAAGGATGTTTTTAAGGTTTGGTATGCATGATGTGCATGTCAGTATGATTAGGTCGTAGTTTTTTAATTAATTATAAGTGTTAATTAAGAAAATTGAATAAAAATTATTAAATTAGATTCAAATGATGTTTTAATATAAATAATAATTTTTAAATCTTGTCCCAATCCTTAACATCTTATGGCTACCTGATAAGGGTCGTCAAAACGACTCTTTGTCCGTGAACGGCTCGTGTTCGGCTCGCTAAGCAAACGAGTCGAACACGAACACATTTTTTGAGCTCGAAATATTGGGCTCGGCTCGTATTTTGCTTTTTTTACATTTATGCACTCAAATCTTTCATATGACATTCGAAATATCATTAGTTTAAATTTTATAAACTGAAATACACAATTTCATGCAACGTAAGATGATTTAATTAATTAATTAGGTGTTAGATATGTAAATGCATAAGAATTGAGTGGTATTTATGTTTAATGTTTCTGTTGATTAATTAAAGAAGGAATTGCTCGCTTATTATATCATTAGATTATTTTCTTATGATAGCAAGTTCATTATAAAAATTTTGCCGTGCAAAAAAATGGCCAAGCATGACTTTGCCGCAGTCAATGTTAGTTGACAAGAATATAATTAGCACCTCTTTGGGGCAGTTTATTTGGTGTGGTGCATTTTAAAGATGGCACCCAAACCCGTTTGAGTGAATTGCATTTTGAGCTTTTTCAAGACACGGTGTTTTCAAATCGCTGAATTCAGCGTTTTCACACTGTTCCTGGTTAGGTGCGGTGATAACTTTCTAGCCCTGGTCTAGTTTTTTCAAAAAAATAAAAAATAAACTATGCAACAGATTATTTTTCAACAATTTATTAATAAATTATGACACTAATGTGTCAATTTTGATTCTAGATTAGATATTGGCTTCCCTTAGAACGACCATCGTGACTCATTTAATTGTTTGCAAATGGATTTTTTTTTCTTCAATATCATACCCTCTGGAAGGAGAAAATTTTACTTGCGTAGGTTACAGATACAGGTAAGTTACAAGTTTTGCGCTTCTATTTTCATATATTTATATGTTACAGATAGGTTACATGGAGTATAACACGGATACAACTCCTCAATACCCTCTGGAAAACCTCCCTGACATACACGTACGTAAATTTCTCTCCTCCGAAAGGCTCTCTTCGAGGTTTTTTTTTGGAAGATTTTCATGCTGCTTAATTCTTATGTATTTACACATCTAAAACCTATTTTTTTCAATTTTTGCATGTGTCACCTTACCTATGTATGGAAAGGTGTATCCTGCGAACGGACAATGAAGCGAATCGACCCTTTACAATAATCTTCGATGCATTACATTGTTTCTATTTTGAATGATATTGCTCTTAACTATTTTGACAGTTTCTGAATATATAGAAAAAAAATCACTTTTAATTAATTTTCTATTTTTTTTAACACAATTCTTGAACCAAAATAAAACCATCCATAAATATGTGCAGAGATGCATTAATAAAAGCACAAAATGCATGCATATACATCATTAGATATCCATTTGATCGAATCCAAGTTGACCACTCAGTTCTTATACATGTACATATCTAACACCTAAACTTTCATATTTACATCCATGCCACAAATCTTTGACATGACATCATAATACAACTATTACTAACTCATGTCTCTGAAATGAAAAAATATTACCTCAGGAATACTGATGCATCAATACTCCAACTGGGAGGTGTAACGTATACAATGGTCCCATCATAATGCCACGTGGCACGTCCTCATTGAAGTACAGATAATATTTTTTTTCTCTGAAATACACATTTTTCATGCAAAAGTTTTAACATCAAATTATTATAAATGTAAATATCAAAGTTTAGTCGTTAGATATGAAAATACATGAGAACTGTGTGGTATGTTGTATATTTCCCAAGAAACAGAAGCTTTCTCAGTTTCTCTTGAAGCTGTCTTTCTGGTTTATAAGAGTTTATAAAAAATCAGGCAGCCCAAATATAAACAATCTATAAAATCATGATAAATTCAGCAAAATTAAAAGAAAAAAAAAATCAAAATTTCCTTTCTAATCCTTCCATCCATCTTTGTTAAATCTCCTAGAAGCTAAGCCCTTCAACGAAGGATTCGAAATGGTCTTTGAGGGTGTCATTGGAGCTTCCTCCACATCCCAACCATTTCCCCAACTGTCATCCCAACCACCGTCGCCATCACTGGCTTCCTTCTTTCCTCCGATCGAAACGGGTAATCCGACCTCCAACTTCTGGTATTTCGGGTGGCCCGATTGTTGCGGCAAAAAATGGCGAAACCTAACACATAACCAGACGATGAGCACGGCCGCAGCTGCGGCGAGAACGATGCACAGAAGTGCGAAGCCTGTGGATGTGTTGAGGAATCTGGATGTGGTGAGCGTTTCACTTTTGGTTATAGGGTTGGGGATTATGTTCCTGAAGTCCAGGCTACAATTATCACCTCCTGCTTGAAGAATTAGCAACGAGTCTTTTGTATTGTCCTCTTTTACATAAACTTTCACCTGCAAAGCATTCGAAGATTTATATTTACATAAATGCCAACTTGCCTATGCATGAAAAGGTGTATTTCTGTTTTTAAAAGTTAAAATGGTGGTATTTTGATGTGTTACGAAAAATTTGGGTGGTATAAATATAGAAGGTAAAATGTAGGCGTTAGATATGTAAATATATAGGAAATGGGTGGTATGTATGTAAGTGCCCCTAAATCAAGCATGGAAAGAAAATATGGAATGGTCAAAGATAAAGTAAATTAAAGTGTTTAGTTTTATTGATTCCCTCTTCAATAGGCCTAGAACCATGTAACTCAACATGAAATTCAACAATAACAAGCTTTGAATAAAAGGATATAACTTGGAAAATAAAGCTAATAAGTGCTTAAATTACTTGGGCGGTATTTGGTAGCATGCTATTAATAAGATTTAGCAATGGATTTAACTTAAATCGAGTGAAACATTAAAAAAAAGTGAAAACTAAATCCAAAACTACATCAAATCAAAATTTCTCGCGTTCCATCTTTTTTTCTCACGTTTCATCACTTTTATGATGTCAATCTCAATTTACTAAATCTAATTGCCAGACAGATTTAATCCATCATCGCTCGTGAGCACCGTCGCACAATGCATTTGATAAATCCGGATTTCTTGGATTTGGTAAATCCTATTTAGCGTGAATATAAGGAAAAGCCAAACATCATACAAGTGCAGACACGGCTTCCATATGGCTGGTTATAGCAAATAACTTGCATGATAAATTAGGGCAAGGAATTATTCCATTGTCGATTCTGTTATGAATTCTTATTTCACTATATTCTACTAGAAATTGCAGAGAATATAACAAAACGTTTCTATAATAGTAATAGTTTGAAGTTATGTATGCACCAAATTCAACATTGATACCTAAATTTTTCATGTCAGCCTTCGGACTGCAATTAATCTAGTCCTTCAAATGAATGCACAATGAAGCATGGGCTAATATTAGAAAAAATTGTGAGGTGACCGAAGGGTTTCCAAGTATCATAAGTTAACATCAAGGATCAAGATTGAGTTTATACTCCTTTGTATTATTATGAAGATTCTTACAATGGATATTTAAAACCAGATACTATGATGAATTCTTTATGTAGAAATTCAGTAAATGAGATTTATAAAACAAAAACTAAATAGATAATGTGTAGTGCTAATTTTATGATGTTAGTAATTGTCACTTGTGGGCTCTAGAAATTCAACCTCCTTCAAAAAAGAAAGAGAACATGGAATAAGGATGAGGAAGTTTATCATGAGCTTCCGGGTCAAATTTTCAAAAGACAGATGAGATAGAAGGATAAGACACTACCTAGAGATTTCTCGCTCATTTTTTTTAGGACTTTAAGATGCAAGCCCCTATAATTAATTACATTCCTCGATAACAAGAGAGCGTTTTCAATTAAAGTAAGTCATTAGGTGTTAAGGAATCGGACTTAGCATTTAGTAGTAGCAAATTTTAAATTAAAAATTATGAAAATCATCACCGTGAGATTAAAATGGATTATGAGGGAAACGATGATGAACCCGATCATGATCTCATATTTCCGTCATCTCGGGTTGTCATAGTTCCCATTCTACTTGTCAGAGGAGGCAGTCGACCCAAACTGATAGAAGGATCATTGTCAGCAACCATGAGCTGTTTCATCCAAAAGAATTTTATAGAATTATTTTGAGCATGAATCTATTATTATACTTAATATGAAATCAATTATTTGTGAGCTTGAATAAACATTAAATTTATCCACCCTAACAAATAGTTGGGAAGGGTACATAGATTTTCGGTGATTGATTTCATTTACGTATTTTCTTAAATTTTATGATTTTGATTTTTTGATTTATGAATAGATCCCTCTAGTTGAGATTCACAATCAACATTATCAGCATTGGGGTACAATTATTACTTAACTATCAATAAAAGTACTAATCATGTCGACTCCAATTCTCATGAAGAGAATCGAGCTGAGATACTTTGAACTCAATTTTGTCAACTCTGGTCCTAATTAGGAGGATCGGACTTACTAAGTGTGGACTCAATTTTGTCATTTCTAGCCCCTATGGGAAGGAAGATCGAAATAGTCAAAGTGGGACTCAGTCTTGTCAACTCCAATTCCCGTATAAAGGATTAGCCAAGCAAGGCAGCCTGAAGGGGAGCGTGCATAATTTAATAATTTTAAACTTAATATTTATAAATGAAATTTTTTTATAAGACTTCAAAAAGTGTGAACGTTTATTGTGGTGAATTTGGCTTAAACATATAATGAGCATATGAGTATTTTAGAGAAAATTAGATTTAAGCTTAAACATATATTTTAACCCGCAATAGCATTCTCAGATATCTAAATTTAGAAATGTAGGGTGATCGTCGAAGCGCATGCAAGTGTTTGGTAGTTATAGTGCATGATTCATGGTGTATTTATATGATCTACTTTTACAATCCTTGAGGCATTTTATGTTCTTTAAAGTGATGTGCTTGATTCAACATTAATAATCTTGTACACAAATCTTAAATCATTTAATGTTCTTCAAGGTGGTGAATTTAACATGACCATAATAGCTATGGGCAATGCGCAAGCTAAAGTGTGCATGATTTTGGGATCCGAAAGTTTGTCTTCTATCTGCTATTACAAAGTGGTGCAGATCCGGTGGCAAACGTGCAAATTTTGCCTAGATCCTTCTAGTGAACCATCTTCTGTTCTCTTGTGTTGTTAGGTTTCAAATCCAATGACGTAGATTTGCATATTGGATTTCATTATATATTTCAAATTATATTACTTTCTTATATTGACTTCTCGATTTATTTAGTTCTGAAAGTTCATGAATAATAATAATCCCTTTAGGACTTTTAGTTCTGTCAAATCTGAGACGTTTAGCTCCAATAAAGTTAATTTTATATTGCCCATCAAAATTCATGCTCCTATTCTATGATGAGTTTACAAATTTGATCTTTAAAGTGAGCCATCAAATTCATTTAGACTTAGTGGACACTGTATTTTCAATCATCATTACGTTTGTGATATTTAAAGTGCAGAATATTTTATAAATTTTGCATTTTATTTTATTTTAGTTAGTCATTTGAGTGTTTAGTGGGCTGCCTTTAAGTTATGTTCCAAGTATCTCTGTCCAGATCAAATTTCAGCAACCTCCCGGAGTTATCCCCAAATAGGGGGTTGCATCAAGAAGCTGGGCCCACCCACACATATATAAGACGTTCATGGGTGATGTTTTACAACACCAAAGCCAAAAATCTTCAAACACCACCCTCACCCTGGTCTAAAAGACGTGCAGGGGTCTTCAGGTACATGTGCAAAAGCAGTAGCAAATTTTCCCTCATTAAGAAAACGAGAAAATATAATTATATTAATAATTTTCTTAGCATTTTTATTAGCATTACCATTAGTCTGAACTTGAACAGCCTCCTGAATTCATCCCCGTTTAGGGGCTACCTCGAAAGTGTTGGGCTTGCCCAACTGTTTATAAAATGTTCATGGGTGGTGTTTTACAACACCAAGACCAAAAGACTTTCAACCCACCAATTTAAGAGAAGTGTATGAGTCTTTAGATACCTGTGTAAAAGCAATAGCAGGTCTTCTTGACTCGTTAAAACAAAAGAACAAGTACTTATATTTAAAAATTGTTAGCATTTTTATTTGCATTTTATTTTCTTTTATTTAGTCATTCAGTGTTCATTGGGCTGCTTTTAAGTTGTGTTCAAGTATCACTATCCAGACTAAATTTTGGCAATCTCTCAAAGTCGTCCTCTCATAGAGGATTACATCAGAAAAGTTGGGCCCGCCCACCCATCTATATGATGGGCATGGGTGATATTTTGCAACACCAGACCCAAAATTCTTCTAATTCACTCTTCTGAAGGGTTCAGGTACCTGTGTAAAAGCAATAGCAGACTTATGCCTCCAGGAACAATGAGAACAAGTACTTATATTTATAATTTCTTAGCATTTTTATTGTTACCATCAGTCTAAACTCAAGCAACCTCCCAACGTCATCACTGTTTAGGGAGCTACCTCGCAAGTGTTAGGCCCGCCTGCCTATCTTTAAAACGTGCATGAGTGTTTTGCAACACAAGGATAAAAAACTTCTAATCTGTCAATCTGAAAGACATGCATTGGTCTTCAGGTACCTATTTAGGAGTAATAGCAAATTTTTCCGACGAGTTGGAGCAACTCGAACGGGTCCTTAACATGAAGTTTTCCCGCCGAGTTGAGACAACTAGAACGGGTACTTATAATTACTTGTTTATACCTTCTGCACTAGAAAAGACATCAGTGGCAAAATGGCAAAATCGTGCATGTTCATTGTAGTACTCCAAACAGAAAAGCATCAACGCTCTGTGCTATTGCTGACTTCGATTTATCCAATGAATCAGCCTTTTCAGCAGGTGGAATGGGAGGTTTGTTTTTTAAGTGTTTGAGCATCTTCCACTTCCACATCATGAATGTTTCTATTGTTGCCAACATAGCTTCATGAACTGATGCTGAACTCGTGGCAGCATACTTATTATTTTGATTGAATATCTCACCTTTCTACAAACGCCAAGGAAAAAAAGGAGCTGGGTGTTCGGTTGGGGGAGCTGCTTGTGCGAGGAGGTGCTTACGAGAGAGACGGAAGAGAGATTGGATTGGGGGTAAACAGCAGGCGGTTGGAGGGGGCTGGGGTGCTCTGACTTCAACAGAGATGAGGAGAGCTTGGGTTGTCTAAGCTGGGAAGCCACCGGTCTGTGAGAGAATGGAGCTGTTAGAGCGAACAAGGAAGCCAGAACCTGCTTGGTTTCACGTGAGGAAGCTACTTTGGGGCAGAGAGTAGAGATGGCTGCTATTGTGCATAAATATTGGGAGGCATTCGGTTGGGAGTCCTCCTGTCAAAGGTAGTAGGACAAGGAGATGCGGCGGAGTGCTGCTCCCCTGCAGCGTGCGAGGAGAAGCCGGAAGGAGGAGCTAGTTCGAGGCTGGTAGAAGCAAAGAACAGTCGGAAAAGGAACTAGGCATTCTGGTGTTTGGCATAGGGAAGAGCAGCTGCTGGGGGAGGAGCTGGGAGACGAGCTGCTCGGAATGGGGAGGAACGGGGGAGATGGGTTTGCGGCTTGAAGAGCAAGGAAGAGGGAGACGGAAATGAGCGCTGTCTGCTGCGTGTCCAACAAGGACGAGTAAAAAGACATGAGTCTGGATGCATCCAAAAAGCTAAATTAATTTTATTCCTATTTTTGGGGTTTTTACATACATGGAACTTGAAACTTTGTTTACAGATTTCACATCTATAAATAACAAAGTTTAGAGGGCTATGTATGTAAAATTCCCTTTATTTTTTTTTAATGTTGTTCTTTAATTTAAACCCCATTTGTTTTGTTGGGCGGCTTAATGTCTGCGGTGCAGCTCAAGGCAGCTGTGCGCGTGTGTCCGCTTAATTGGATAATTTGGAGGAAACACAGGCTGCGGGTTCAACCCAGTGGCTCGCATTACTTCGCTAATAGGAGCTACCCCGCGGAAACACTCGCGATTCTCTATGCCCCTGCCTCTCTCGCAATTCTGCCCTAAATTTCCTCTCTTGCTAATCTTGCGGGGCTCTCTCTCTCTCGCGATTCTTGCCCTAACTTTTTGGTAGTTGTTTGTGGTGAGCTTTCCATTCTTCCTCTCCCTCTATTCTCTATTCTTCGGGCCAGTTGGGATCATTCATTGGCTCCGCCATTTGTGCGATGGTTCATCTTCCTCTGAAATTCTCTTACCTTAACTATGCGATGCTTTTTGATTTTGCAAACACTTGTGTGCAATGCTTCTCCTGGGTTCTCTGTGCTCTTATACTTCGATGGCTTTCAGTTTATGTTTGATTTTAGGATTATTTTGGATTCTCTGTGATATGCTCGGATGATGATTTGAGTTCTTTATGCTATATGCTATTGATGGGCTTGGTTTTTTTCTTGCTCTATTATGTTGACTTGTTGGTCGAAAATTGGTGATGGTGGTGATTGCATGTGCATTAAAGTGGAAATACAAATGGCTAATTTGAATGTATATGAGCCATGTGTTGGTGTATGGAGATAGTGGTAGTAGTGTTGTGGATGTGTTGGTTTGTGGATGTGGTGGCAATGGTGTGTGGAGGTGGTGGTAGTGGAGTGTGGAGGTGTTGGCAGTGGTAGTGTGGATTTGTTGGTGTGTGGAGGTGGTGGTGGTGGTAATGGTGGTGTGTATGTGTTGGTGTGTGGAGGTGGTGGTAGTGGTGGTGTGGAGGTGGTGGTAGTGGTGGTGTGTTGGTGTGTGGATGTGGACGTGGTGTGGTGAGGTGTGACAGTGGTGGTGATGATATTATGACATTGTTATTTTTCTTTGAGTTGTGGTAAATATTTTGTATGACAAATATTTATGTTGATTAATTTTTTTCATGCCAGTAATATAATGGTTAAAACAAAAGAGATCAGTTCATCTGCTATGTGACATAAAGTTATGAAAATAATAGTTTACGACCTTCGTCTTAAGGAGATCGAATTGAGAAATAGATCAACAATCTATTTTAATAAGGAGAGATAGTATAATTTTATTAACAAGTTCAAGGAAAGTACAGGTTGTGAGTACGATATAATACAATTAAAAAATAAATGGGATCAACTACGAAAGAATTGAAGGGAGAATTAACGAGACTGATTTGAGATCCAATAAAGTGAACAATTGATGCTTGAGAGAATTGGTGAGCAGAGAGATTGGAGGCGAGCATTTATGAAGCATCCACTGCTTTTATCAATTTTTCATTTTTTTTCAAATGCATTAGCATGTCCTATGACTTTGTAGGTGGTGTTAAATGCGAAAAAATTTAAATAAAATGGCATCGAGGCTGAGCTGGAGGAGAAGTTAGACCGTATGATTGGTGGTGTCCATTAATGGAACACACGTGGATGCACATGTTCCAAACAATGAGAAGATCGCACTCATCAGACGATGTGATTCACCAACGCAGAATGTCGCGACTGTATGTGATTTAAACATGTGCTTCACTTTTATCATGACCGGTTGAGAGGGCAGTGCACATGACAGTCGAATTTTTAATTTTGCAACACGAACTAAAAAATACAACTTTCCTCATCCACCCACAAGTTTGCTTGAGACTGAACTAGTCAGATATTGTTCTTACTACAATACTAATTATTGTATTAATGTCAGTTAAACATTACTTGGTCAATGTTGGATATTCATTATAGAGAGGGTATCTAAAGCCCTATCCTGACACGAAATATCACATACCTAACTTTGAGAGAAATAACAATATCATTTGGGGCAAGAGAGAAATGTTCAATAAGAGACACTTTTTCTTAGGCGATGTCATTGAAAGGACTTTTAGAGTTTGGAAAATGAAATGGGTCATACTGCGCAGCATGCCTACATATCTGTTTCTCAAACAAGTGCAGATTGTGCTCGCTGCGATGACTCTCCCCAACTATATTCAGCGACATCTTTCCGACGACGTTAACTTTAGTAGGGCTGATGAAGATCATTCACATGTCATATGAATATCTTATTGAACAATCTTTGTCATAGGCTGAAATTGATGTGCCTGGGACTTGCATTCAAGATGGGGAAAGTACAAACAAGAATGTGGAGTTGAGAAAATGAATTATGGAAGGTATAGTTGGAGGCTGAATGAAGGGAATGTTTATTTTTGTTGATATTTTATTGTAATGTGTTAAAAATATTTACTGCTTATTGTATCAGTATTTTATACAAGTCATGTATATTTCTTTTTCTTATACATTTAATGTTTATTGTAACAGTATTTTATATAAATAATGTATATTTCTTTTTCCTTATGAATGCATTCTTTACCACTTGGATGACTGATGAGGCAGTCGTGGGTAATAAACAAAATCTAAATATTGCATTCTTTGTTTAAGTTTTGGAGGCCTATGATGAAACGTTCGACCTTAAGAGTTTATCTAGATGGTCTATATGTTGTTATTGGTTATTGTCACATCCGAAATCCCAAGTTGCTCTCCTTTTTTAGTGTTATGATTTTTTAGGTTTTTCTAGACGGTCTTTTTTGGGTGATATGCATATATGACACACGAACTCGATATTACGTGGGTAAAGGCAACGAAGAACCATTTTTTTATAAGGCCTGATGTTTCTTGTAATAACAGATTCGTTGGTTTATATATTGTGTTATCTAAGACCTCACAGTTGTATAAAACATTAATTGATTACTTAAATTATTATTGTTTACTAATGTTACATCTAAGGGTATGTGTTTTGTGTTGTAAGCCTTCAAGAAAAACGAGCTCGATGATTTCCGGTACCTCCAAGGAATTGTACTGCTATTGCGGACTACAATATTCACTATTTACTTTGCGACAATCAGATAGCTATGGAAGACAGTTTCACAGGTGTTCAAGGAGAACATAAAATTGTGATTTCTTTATGTGGGCGATGGGTTAGAGGATTCCACAGCTGATAGTGAACGGACGTAGAGACTTTTCTTGAAAAACAGCGACTGCATTTTAAAAATAATATTATCATAGTATTAATTGTTATTTTTAATTTTAATAGCAATGCTACTCACTGTTTAGTGATGTGTCTATTTTTATTTTGTAATATTTGAATTGATATTTGATTTAAAGTATGAAATGTACAAGTATGTATAATTTTGTTGTAAACAACGTTACAGTACAGGGGCAAAATAATTAGTTGTCCAGAAACAGCTGCAACACAACAGTTTTAGAACTAAAAAAAACAGACAGTCAGCTTATCAACAACAGTTTCCTGCAACAACTGCTGCGCAACAACTTTTAAATAAGTTGCAGCTATCCCAAACAGACCTTTAGTGTCAAGACTACTGATTGGACAATTAGACAACACATGTATAAGCAAAGGATTTGGATTTGTGGTGGGCTTTGATTCACAAGTAAGGTACATTTGAAATGATTTCTTTATTAAATCACATGTGATCTCAAAATTTATGCCAATAATTTATTTACACAACCCAAATAATATGGGTGTTGTTTCAGACTAAATTTAATATTTCGGACACATAGGCGCAGTCCGTTTTGCAAAATGAGTTTTTTCGAGCAACTTTGATGATGTTCAAAATGAATTGGTCTAAGTTGCACCTGTGTGCCGGCGGTCCGCCGTTTTCACCATGCTTTCTCCATTCGATCATGGAAGGCCTCTTCTTAAGCAACTTCGATTCTGCTAATGTGCTCGTGGGCGATCTTTTATGAATAAGAGTCTTTTGAATTACTTCATTGACTGTCAAAAAAAATTGATTTGATTTGACAACATCACATTCAATCATTGTCAATCTATCTCACAATAGATCAATTCGACTTATGGAATTGATTTGAGGGTGGGTCACCATCAATCAATTTTGAAATATAGAGTGATGACTTGCTATGATAAAAATGAGAATCGACCTCGGTAATTAAGGATGGATGTTTAAAATAAAGAAATGTGCCAAAAAAATGAGTAATAAGCAAATATGATGGGAGCTTAAGGAAAATGTTATAAAACAGCAATTAGACCGATAATGTTGCATGGAACTGAAGGTCAGCTGTAAAAGGATATTAATATCTAGGTGTGATAAACATGAGATTGCTAAAATAAGTTACATAGAAAACTAAAAGTGATAAATTAAGGAGTGTTTATATGTAAAGAAAGGTTGAAGTGACATCTACTGAAGATAAAGTGATTGAAAATAAATTTAAGTGAATTAAAAAGGGGCAACAAAAGATAAAAATGCCCGTCTTATTTATCTTTTCAAGAATTTCAAAGATATAGTCAAAAAAATACCTCTTTGTCTTCTTTAGCTTTGATTTGCATATTAGTTTGCTCCAGACTTACAACAGAAGGGGCGATGATTTTAACATCAAGAGATCCTTTTCCTTTGTTCTGAATTACAAGTGAAAGAGCTTGCGTATCTGTTCCAAAGTCAGATATGTCAAGAAAAACAAAATAAAGGCCAAATTACACAATAAATTAAAGCACTAATGGGGATAACAGCATGATAAACTGATAGAAGTTTCCCCTCTACTTAATTTTGGGTTCAATTAACACCTTCCACTTCTAAAATTTTCAATCATGTCTGTTAACGTATAAGAAAATTGGCACTTCAAGCCAAGCACAAATTCTTCATAAAATATGTGTCATGCCATCATTTATGCATGTATAAACCATTTGGGGAGGAGAGGGGAGTGAAGGGGAAATTTGATTCCACTATTTAACCACTGCATTTTATAGAATTCTTGGTCAATCTATATATGGGCTCCCTTACACAATATAAAGGCTTGAAAATAAAAAGCGGTTAACTTTATGATTCCCATTTTGCTTGCTGCTTAGCGACCATTCCATGTCACTCTATCATCAGCTAAATCATAACCAGCTTTAGTAATATGCTGAATAGGAGTCTTTGAAATAATCTATGTACCAACCACAAATTTTAAAGCTTTAGCAAACCGAGTCAAACAAAAAAACAAACAGTCCAACCTTTTCCAAGTTGCCTTGAACATAAGAGATTCTGTGGGACATATACCTCTGATAGTAGCACTGGCCATTTTACAGTAAAAAGCTCACAGAAGAAGTAAGGTCTTTGAGCATTCAGTCAAAGAGGATGGATTGGATTTCAAATTGGCCAAATCAATTGCAACCGAAATCTAAAATTAAAAGTAAAACAAATAAATCAAAATTTTGATAAAATCGAACCGAAATTTCATTCAGTTTAAACTGCTCGATTATGAACAAAACAAAATTTAGTTGTTAGTTGGAGTTTGTTTATAAACAAACATCAAGGATTACATATCTTACATATATAATATCAATTTAATTTCATGTATCTCTTATTTAATTTTGAATTTCAGTTTTTGGTTTGTTCGGTTAAATAAAAAATAAAATTGAGCAAATAACCAATAACCAAATGTTGAGGTTTTAAAAATAAAAAACGGAAACACATTTTGGAACCGAGCTAAATTAATTAAACTTGTGTGGTTCGGTTAGGTTTTTTTCGGTCTTGACCAAATAATGCACACCGCTAATTTGGTTGATGCATGCATATAAACAATACCTTTATACAACAGATAGAAAATACTTCCCAATAAAAGTTCAAAAACCTAATATTTCATATTGAGATTTCTGGTCTTACATAAAGAGGTCAGGCATCTACATAACCAGTGGATCCAGCATTTTATAATATCTTCTCAAGATTCATCACCCTTACGAGTTAGATCTTCGTATGAAGGAAAAAACATACATAAAGCCAGTAGTTACTACTAAGACCATTTCCCAACAGGGGAGAGGTGTTTGGCTTCCTCAAAATTTATTGGGTGAGAGGTATAGCATCCACGTTGTTTACTTTTTATACCTGTTCTAGTTTAGCTTTACATAAGCTTGCGCTTCCTCCTCTTGCTCAGTGTGCGTGTTCTCATGTCTTGCATTAGCATTTGGTGTTACTAGGAAGGGTTACATATAAGATAATAAAATGAGGGAAATTTATACACAACACAGTTCTCATGTATTTACATATGCAGCACCCGAAATTTCATATTTACATTTATAACACCTTCATATCATAAACCTCTATGCATGAAAAGAAGTAGAAGTATTTCACTTTTAAAAAGATAGTGATGGTGATATTTTTGATGTGATGTTAAAGATTAAAGTGATATGCATATAAATATGAATATTGAAGCGTTAGAAATGTAAATAAATAAGAATAGATTGGTATGTATGTCAATGCCCCATAAAATTAACAAGTATTTATTTTTTTTTATCACAATTTTTTTCAATACTGTCTTGGCCATGGCAAGAGAATACTGCCTTGGTCATGGCAAAGGAAATTGTGGAAATCTAAGAAGATTTGGTTATTTTCATATTTACCTCTCACATGTAGGCCAGCCACCAACTCCAAAATTTGAAGGATTTAATTGGGATACCTTGGGAAACATTTGATTAGTTTATTCCCTTCCAATTTTATGTTTTTCTATTCTTTTTTTTCAGAATTATTTCCTTTCCTAATTTAAGTGAGATATGCTTGTAAAAAGAGGGATTGATTTCCCTATATATATGTATCCTATTTGTGAATAATGAATAAAAGAATTTACTCCCCAAGTAAACTCTACATGATATCAAAGCTTCAGATCTTACCCTAGCCGCCGGACCACCTATGTCAGGTTGAATCTTTTTCCTGCATCCAGATCTCCTTTCTGTCGGCGCTGGAAAGTCCTGCAGGCAGCCGAATCTTCTATCGGCAGTCCCCATCCTCTGCAGGCCCCTTTCTCTTTTGCAGCCAGTCGAAACTTCTATAGCAGGCAACCAGATCTCAATCCCTTTTCTCCCATCTACAGGTAGTTCGATCTCCTATCATGTTTCTCTGCAGGCCCTCCTATCTGGTTTCGCCGCAAGCCCTCCTATCCTGATTTCCCCGCAAGCCCTCCTATCATGTTTAGGTGCAGGACCATAGCCTCCTTTCCTTTTTCCTTATAGGCCCTCCTATCCTAATTTCCTACGAGACCATAGCATCCCTACCTGCAGCCTATCAAGCCAGCCTTCCAATAGAAAAGCAGTGGTGGCAAGCATAAGCACCAACAACAACGACAGCAAGCGACTGCAGTTAACTCCCTTCCTACAACTAGAAGCATCCCTAAATATGCTTCGGGATGATGAACAATACGAGATTAAGAAGTTACGTTTTAATCCGGATGTTAATTCTAAATCAGATTTCAGAGAGTGTATCCAGACGACTCCTAAACTCCCTAATATTATCACAAATCATAAAGTCAATGGCGATAATTTCCTTCAATGGTTTCAATCCGTGTTTATGTACATTTGTGATAAAGGAAAAGAATAACATCTCACGGGAGAGGGCGCCGTTTTTTAGATCACTAACTCCAACTACCGCACATGGAAGAATCGAGATCATATGGTTATGTTTTGGTTAGCCAACTAAATGACTATTGAGGTGGGAGAGAATTTTCTGCGATACAAATGAAAAAAAAGAAACATATTTCCAGCACAAAGAGCACTGTAGAATTGTTTCAAATCGAAACTAAACTTCATGAACTCTGGCAATGGCAGCTAAGGGTCACAATATTTCAATATTTTATCAAAGTATTGGTTCTAATTGAATATATTTGAGGCACGTGTGGAAATGTCCACAAGATGCCATGACATTTAAATACATCATCAAGAAGAAGAGGACCATCAAATTTATAGTAGGAATAACTCAGGAATTGGATGAGGTAAGAGGAAGGATCATGAGAACAAAGCCTCTTACATCTCCCCGTGAAGCCTTTGTTGATGTTAGGAGAGAGAGAAAAGAGCAGAAAGAAGCTGATGCTAGAAATGGGAGAGAGTGCAAATGAATATCAATTTTGGAATGCACTTGATGACAAATACACAACAAACCCACCTACTAATCTTCCTACTCCTCTTCCACCCGACTCTCCTACTCTTATTGAGGATATCCAACCAACCCAACCTAAAGTCCACAACAAAAAACTTCGTGTGTACACTAGGAGGAAGAGGAATCTTAAGCAACTGGAAGATAAATTTCAAAGACAAAATTGCTCCAACCAAAACCCTAGTCCACATTTACTTCAAGTTTCGGGATGAGAGTAGTCTGGTACTCATGAGTTGCCCTCTTCTTCTTCTAATGCTGATGATAAGAAAAGTTGTACGAGATAGCCAATTCGGGATTATGTAGCTTATGGAAAACTATCCTCGCCCTATAGAGCGTTTATATATACCCTTGATAATATGCAAATTCTTAAATTCATTCATGAAGCTCTTACAAATCTAGAATGGAGGGAAGCAGTGGAAGAAGAGATTCGAGCAAACTCAGAATGATTCCAACAAACACCTTGTATGCAAACTCAGAAAGTCTTTTCATAGGCTTAAACAAATACAAAGAGCGTGGTTTGAAACATTTGCTAAAATTATGAAATCCAATTAATAATCTTAAAGTCAAGTTGATGATATATCGTTTATAAAATATGCTTAGGCAGACAAGATTGTTGCACTAATCGTATATGTAAATGACATGATTCTTACTAGTGATGATGAAAGAGAAATTCTTAAAATCAGAAAGTGTTGGCCGTTTAGTTTGGAAATCAAGAACCTAGAAAACATAAGATATTTTCTAGGTATGGAGGCAACAAGGTCCAAGAAAGGGATTGTATATCACAGAAAAAACACGTCCTAGATCTGCTAAAGAAAATAGGACTGATTGTATGCAAACCTGTTGATACTCCAACGGAATCCAAAAAGAAAACTAAAAGGGAAAAATAAAGTACATCTATGGATAAGGGAACATACCAAAAATCAATAGGAAAATTCATCTATCTGTCATATACTAGGGCAGATAATGCATATTCTGGCAGCATTATGAGTCAACACATGAATAGCCCAAATGAAGAGCATTTAGAGATGGTTTATAAGATTATGAGATTTCTCAAAAAGGCCTTTGATCATGGATTAATTTTAGAGAAAACTATAAATAGAGAAGTGAAAGTCTACACTTATGCTAGTTGAGTGGGAAAAATCACTGACAGAGGATCCACTATAAGTTATTGCTCATATGTATGAAAAAAATTTGGTTATATGGAGAAGTAAAAAGTAAGTTGTTATTTCGAGAAGCAAAGCAGAATCATTGTATAGGGCACTTGTCTTGGGGATCAGTAAAGGGATCCAGATCTATAAATTGTTAAGGGAACATGGATGTTCTTCCAATAGGCATATACAAATGTTCTGTGATAATCAAGCAGCTATCAATATTGCAAAGAATCTTGTGCATCATGATAAGACCAAACATATTGAAGTGATAGACATTTCATCTCTGGAAAAGGTCGATGGGGTAATTATACAGTTCAACTACATCCCGACACACAAACAAGTTGTTGATGTCTTCACCAAAGCTCTTCATTTCAAT